TGTGATATTTCAAAAAGCACACGGTCTAAGTCAGTGAGATTTATTATTATATTCTTTTTGTCTTCGATGCAAATAATCTTTTAATTTAGAAGCATTTGTAATATTTGTCTCTGCTACACAGCTGTTGTAAAAGCTACTGAGTCAGTTTTTTTTAATGTTTTTAGAGGCAACCCCAAGTCGGTATTAATTTTTGTAATTTTGTTAAAATGTGACAAATGATTTTTTCGGAAATTTAAGTTTAAAGTATGTTGCGTTTTTTTTCTCCGCCTGCTATATTCTTTAACATAATTATTCACATGTAGAGATAATCGATTGAAAAAAGACCATCTTTTTCTGATTCTGATGTAAAATTATCGAAATACTAAAACTAGATATTTCGTTGCGTTATATTTATTTTGAAGAAGTAAAATATTTTATACTTTGGAGAAATGATTTTTTGTGTGTGTTGCTAGACCTCGGCGAAAAGTTACAGGATACAAAATGTACAGTGCTCTCTCAAATCGCATGCGTAATAAACCAAACCCGCTCGATTTTCGTAATCTATGTGGCATCGTTGTTTTATTAAATAAGTTTATGTGGCAATTTAGTAACATGTAAAGGAATGCATTTTAAAGTGCAATAAAAAGTTTGAAATTGATTCGCTAACTGGACAAGACATTATAAAAACGACAACATCTTTTGCTTAAAGAAAATAGAAAAATAATAGGCATTGAAATCTCCTCGAAATGCTAAAATTATGTATGTATTCTCAACACCCCAAAAAAGTATTTCGTCGACAAATGTTGAATCTATTTAAATAAGATATAAATTAAAGCATAATAAACTGATTGTGAAATAAAAAATTGATATAGAATGTTCACTCAATCTGAACATCTGACATAAATGACTTATATAACTGCCTTTATAAAATAGTGTTATTCCGTATTTTTCGTCCATTTATCACGCCCATATTTCTAACATCCTAACATCTGAAAACAAAAACACCAAGCTTAATGCTGTGTTCACTGATGCGAAGAAATTTTGTTACATTGCCATATGGAGCATAAAATAATCAATTAATTTTTCCCTATATCTTCTCTCTTTTGTTGACTCTTTAAGTGGGAATTTTATCGATAGATAAAGTTTGCAGTTTTGTGTTTCTTTTCACCAAACCCGTACAGTTATCTACACAATAATTTTGAGCTCATAGATTTTTGTCAATTATACAGGCAGAATGATATAATATAGGTAAGTTTTTGTTTGTGAACATATTTCACCAAAGAAGAAAAATAAGACAAAAACGATGAGTAAGAATATAGTTTTTTTTTATCGTAAATGAGTACGCCGTAGACGTCATCGCAGCAATGAGAAAAAAAAGATACAGAAGTAATTACGGAATTATCGACCGCTAGCTCTCTGGTATTAGTCACTGTAAAATGAATCATCGGTGTAAGTGCTCGGGACACTTCAGGTCAGGCAGATCAACTCTGGCACACGGACACGGAAACTAGGAATAGAACGCAATTATCACTCACTTCGAGCTTTTCGCTTTTCAAGTACCGCCAGTATGCTCCGATCTAGTTCAATTATGCCACAGACACAGTTTTCAATACTCTCGTCTTTGTCGTACTGAATAATTAATATTTCACCAATTCCGCATTGCTGCAATTTTCGATGATGAAAAAAAAAATTGCTGCTGTCCTGAAATTGATTGCCGGAATTAAACTTCCAGGTAATCGCTTTTCTGAAAGTCTTTGCTGTACCTGGGGGCTCTCTCTACCTGTGTCCCTGCTGTCATTTAGAGCCTCTTAGCAGCAATAACGGAGCGCTAATCAGGCAGAACTTGTTCTCCAGGAACTGTTTTTTCCCCATGTCAACTCGTAACATTGTGTGCGTTGCTAGGAGTTTGATTGAAAGAGCATATACATAGCCCGAAGCGTCTTGTGGAAGAAATAATGTTGTGCAGCCGATTGCCTTGATTTTTTTGCATTAGGTTTTATGTGCGTTGTTCAAGTGGGTCGATATAATTTTCACACCTCATGGCTACGTTTTGATTAGCCCGGGTAATTACACAGCACGGTCTTGTACAATGTGAAATAAGGTTAGCTCAAGTCAGTTTTGAGGAAGTGCAGACGGATGTGAATAAAATTCCCCTGTTGCTTTCATTTATTGTTTCTGCAATCATTTACATTTAAATGTGCACTTTAGAGTGATTCTGCTGTTATTACACTGTTTGCAATTGTTTAGTTATTCGTTAGTATTCAAATTATGTTATTTGCCTTACTGTTCGCATAAGATTTTACTGTTCGTATAAGGTTACCAGGTATCTTAAATAATGTTTTCACAGTTAAGAACATAAAACCTTCTCTTATTACCAATTTGTGTGACAACGGTTGTTGTTGAACAAATGACATTTAAGAATTGAATTTTGAAAAATATTATATTTTTGTTATGAGATACCCCTTTCCTACTCAATTTTTTTCCTATCAGAAGTGAAATACGAAACAAATATTTCTAAGAAAGTTCGAGGTTGGAGACAAAGGCGTGCTGAAGCTAACATTTTTGTATTTGTTGAAATATTGGTAGTTCTTTTCTTTGGGACATTTTTGCATAACTCATTTCTATGTAATATCTTATTTCTTAAGCAATTTCATCAATATTGATTTATTGCTGAATGCTCAATCTGTTACTGATATTTACTTCTCTGTGTGTGACTTTATGTATAATGTGCTGTTTTGTCAAAAATTTTTGAAGGAGAAATATAATTCAGGAAATAAAAAAATATCATTTTCTCTTTTTCGTCGAAAGTTTTCTCTTAATGCATTATAGACTGAGATTTGTTATTGTCGATACCTTCAACTTACTATTTCAATGAAATAAAAGATGAATAGAAAATCTGGTTTGGCTTGTTAAATCGCAGTAATCTCCTTAAGCCTAGATTACGGGCGCCGTGCGATGAAATTGTCCGTACGATTTTTTTTAATGTAAGGAGCTACGGACTACGCCGAGTATGTCTACATTACATGGCCTTAAATCCGTACGATTCCGTGCAATTTCGCACGGCCACCGTCTACCTCCGCTCAGACGCCGTACGAAAAGGGTATTACGGGCAGTATACGTTGGTCGTACGGGCATCGCATTTCAAATGTAATCTAGGCTTTACCTAATTGTTCAATTATGGGAGATTAGAATAACCTTGATTATTATGAAAAAAATTTAAAAGAACAATATTTAGATATGTATCAGAAGGGTTTTCTTCGTGGTCAATTAAATTGTCAAATTTGATTGGTATTTGTTTACGGGATCGAGCAAGTGAACCGAGTTACAGTCACAAATCTGGGAGGAGAAAAGAGACCGTCAAATCATATAAATTATAAAATATTGGCTTCATGAAAAACATTCAACTTTAAACCATGGGTCAGAAAAGTTAACCGAACCCTCTTGTTTTTCATTATCAACTGCTATTAATACAAAGGTGACTCTAATTTTCGAATGAAGGTAACAAAATCAGAATACCAGGCCTATGATCATAGAAAATTGTGTATTGGCACGGCGAATGAAACTCAAATATTTAGATCGCTGTCACCTTATCACCAGGGTTTATCAGTTCACATAGGTAACCGTGCTCTCTTCACTCAACCTTTGACGCGCGAAACGAAGAAACAGATAACAAATATCTCATATGATGATGTGTACATGCGACGTTGGAAAATTATGTGATGTGATCTTTCAAAAGAGCATTTAGGTATTTCCTGTCTGACTCGTTTTACAACCCGTGTGCTTTCACAACCACTCTTGAATATGCGTCAAATTTCATTATCAATTGCGGTAGGTTTTTGCGTATCGCCAGATGCGTTATGATATAAATGAAATAAGAGGGAAAAATATAATCATGATGACGATTCTCTCAAAACGAAAGGTTGTGTTTATAAGAACCCGCAAACCTCACTCCGTTGTTAGCTAAAGATTTCCCCCTTGCCCGTTTTTAACGCAAATTTTGTATTTTATTTTGCATTTTTTTTCACGGGTTTACATATATTATCTGATGATCGTTACCCGATATTCATGAAAATTTTGCAATTTTAGTCATTAATACCATTAGGCCTATCTATAGGCGTGTCTTCGCAAAATCACCCATATCATCACATAAGGGCGTATCTGTGAGTCATAAATGGTGGTTAACATTGTGGAGGTTTCAAACTCCAAAAAAGGCAACTGATACACTTGAAGTGGATCGTGTCATCCCCTTATTATACCTGTTGGGTAATTTTAGATCCTGCACATTTTTGGCCTTGAACCAAAATTGATAATAGTGAGCGATCCCACAAAATCGCATTAGGAGAAACCTAGCATTTTTGTTAATCAGAGGACACGCAAAGCTCCGTCATCATTTATGTGACTTTTTTCTTGTCATTCTATTTCGGGATCAAGGGAAAGAAATAGAGTAGTATCGGATACACATACCCCGAGCACAGTTGACAGATCGTTAAAACAGTGAAGTTATGCCAAGCGCATTCGACACGCCCAGGCACGCGCAAAACGTTACCTACTCGTCATGGACATGCCACATTGTTAACCTTTTCGAACAGTATTAGTCTTAAAAGCAATTGGTTCTGCTATGATATAAACCAAGTTGTTACATTCTAGCTATTTACGACACCCTTATCACGTTTCATTTTCTGATAATTCCTGCTTTAGTTATTTAACAATGTAACTTTATTAACTGCTGAATGTGACAATAGTTTAATCAATTATGACATTTTGTTGTTGGGCGTGGTCTTTCTAGTTCTCCTTGAACTGCTCTTATCAATCTACGCATCAAGCCACGAATCCACCCGAACTATTTCAAACATACCGCTCTGAGTCTAATTTCTCTTGAACTTTGTTAATCGACAGAAAAAAGAGGATATCGACGTTAGGCGTTAGGCGCTGAAATGGAAACTATTCACGTTTCATTTTCATAAGCGTATAACTTACAAATTCAACATAATTCAAGACAATGTACAACACTTACAATCATATTAAACAAAAGTCACTTTAATAATATATTTAAATTCTTTTACAGTGAAAATAAATATTGCACCAATTTTCAGTTTCGTAAAAAATGAGATCGCGTGAATCTATAAACAATTTTCATTTTTCTGATAACAGTTTAACATAAAAAGAATCATAATTCTGACAAGAAATTATTTTATACTTTGTACAACGAATAAATGCTACGACATGAAAAGTGATGCCATAGACTAGACTAGACTGTATAGCTATTTACATGCCCATGTGGGTTCGTTAAGTTGCGAAAGCGACTTTACAAAACAAAACGCAGGTAAACCAAGTTCGACCTAGTTCCGCCTGCACTGGCTTCTAAAGTAAATATTACACAATAAATGAACTTTGGGCTGCACCAAACAAAAGTTTACGTATAAAATTCAGTTCTTATATACTGTCTTCATCCAGTGAGACCAAACGAATAATGAATAGCAATATATATCATGCTATTCGAGATCATTGTGAAAATACTGTCAAGTTCAACAAGGACTATTTTGACAGTCTTGCGGCCCTGGGAAATGAACGCACCTCCTCGATAGAAAGTTTATCAAAACGAGCCTCTTGACAAAATGGGCTGTTTGCCAAACGACAACACTATTATTCCAACAGGTGAATTGCGAATTGGTTTTAATGTCGTGACCGGACTGTCAGATCCTTTGACTTGGAGAGACAGCGTAGCACTAATTTCTTTTTTCACCACACCACTTGCAGTACGTTTTTTTCCCTCGGGATTTTATTGCAGCACTGATTGTCAATTGTCATGTTAGATTAGTTGTAGAAGTGTCCTGTTGACAGTGTGCCAACTCGCAGCCTGACCCCATGTCCCCAATTAGAGTTAACCTACAAATACAAAAATAGACGCCATGGTAAAATCTACATGAAACATATTTGATTGAGCATTTTCATCTCGGTGCTGGTATTGACATTGAAGAAAACCTGCTCTGTCATGTTTTCTGAAAGCTAGACAAAAAGTCAAGGTCGCCGTTTTCTACCATTTATAATCATCAACGTAGCAAGTTTCTAACAAAGCGGGGGGTAACGTCAAGACCTTCGTCATTACTTTTCACAAATAAAGCCGCGAAACTGAGAGTTGATTTAATGCAAACATGTGTCATATCATTTACGCTGTCGCGTGGCCCTGGTTCACGGCTCGACGACGTGGTAATGTTTACAAACATTGGCACGTGGCCAGTGGAAGGGAGATGTGTTATTTTTAGACGAGCGCGCTACGTTTTCTGGTTCATAGATTTGCTGTGAATACCCTTTGTTTAAGGGCTGTGTTTGTCAATTTCCTATTTTTCTGGAACTCGTTCTGGTGCCATCCAAGTTAGTGCCAGTTCGTCGGGTGTATTGTCATTGAAGAATGGTTCTGTGTCGAGACCACAATGGATTCATGAAGTACATTGAGTAATAAGTATTGTCATAGTAAAATAGCCCTACACGGACTATGGCAGGATGACAAACCGTTTACCAGGATGGCCTTATGTTGCTATGACAAGGAAACAGACTTACACGCGGGACTTTTTTCATTGTTTTTGGAGCATATTTGTTAGCCTCCCATATATACCTGTTTATTTGTAAGCAGGCCCTGTCAATTTGCGATAGAACGCCCTCTTTAATATTGACACTTTTTAAATTTTATTAGATACATTTATATTATAAGTAAAAATAACAATATGACATAATTCTTACCTGAATTCCAATGGGATTACATCATCTGAACATAAATTGAATATACACCCGTAATATGTGCTTGAACAACACAGTCTTGTCCTCGAGGTAAAAAATACAACGCCAGTCAGCGAAGAAATTTGTCCATCGAATTTTATGAGACAGTGTCATCTCTTTATCCAGGTCATCTCCTATTGTACGCAGTCTCTCTGCCACCTCGCGTAAGTGTTCTTGGAAAGCAGGTGACAATTTATTCTCTCGTTGCCCGTCACTGTCGGAGGTGCTCATAGAGCCTTCTCGGCTGTCTGAATTTTCCCTTGACATGTTGAGAAAGAGATATTGAATCAACTATGGAGGTGTATCTAATGGCCTGTGTATCTTCAGTCTATCATAGTCCTATCTCGCTGTCATATTCTTTCACCAGTGTGTATAATCTTATTTCTAACCAGAAACATTTGGATCACCTTTGTTTATAGCGCGAGTCCAGACCTGCGAATCTCATTGGTCGAAATAGCGCATGACTGCGCGAATACGACTGGCAAAAGTCCAGGGACTCCACGTGCTTTTGTTTGCATTTTGTTAGGGGGTTTTTGCGAGGTCGAGTGAGAATGGGTTCCGTCACGAACATTTTCTGGGGGTATTTCCATTTTCTTAATAATTTTATTAGCGTTATGCAATCCGTTTTTTTTTTTTTTTTTTTTTTCAAAAGTAAATTTAGCCGTCTCTCGCATCCCATATAGGTATTGTCAGGTGAAAATGATATCCTTCGTTGTTCTTATCACAAGGTCACACAGCACGATGCACGCACAAGGTAAAGCGAATCATTGTGCCCCGTTAAGATATATTAAGGTTAACTTTTGATTAGGACAACCACTTATGTATGTTTTGGCGTGCTTTCGTTTCGGATCAAGTAGATTGAAATTGTTTTTAAAAAATGGGCGGGGTGTGGGGTGGGTATTTTCATATTATGTAGGTTTCCTAACTAGTTTGAATTGGTACACCATTTGTTCAACATCGAAATACTTAGTAAAAATCTAAGATTTCCAGGAAAAATAAGATAAAGTTAAGGAATAACTCTGTGGCTCGTTAAATGACAAGAAATGCAAGTATATTGGGTTAAAATGTTACATATCAATTCGTTGTTGTGTTGAGCAAACATACTGTAGTTTTATGTTGAGGACTCTTTTAACGTTGTGTAATACAGGTTTTATCGAACGTTACTTTTATTGAAGATATCTAACAGTTCATGGTAAGTTTTCAAAATCTTACATCGCTAAAACTATCCAGCATGCCAAAATGGTTTAGATCAATTCGTTATTGTATTAAGCTAGACATATTCTTATTAGATGACTCTAGTTTTTATTGCGAATTGATTAGTATTGAGCGGGTAGCCATGGTCGATATGGCGGGAGTCAGCGTGCAGGGATTACAACGTCTTACGGTCGCCCTGACCAAACATAACGACTGTTGCTATTTCCCCGTGGGGCACAAAACGCCTGAAATTTGGACTGCGATACCGAACAGAGTTGAGCGAGTAATCGAATTTTATCTATTTCATAATTGCTTTTATCTAGTATGAATTTTCTGGAGCCATAGAGAGACTTATTTCTTTGAAATTGAGATATCTGTTCTTTGTTTCAGTGGTTAAATGTCTACAAAAATCATTTTCGAACTTGGTGCAAATTTGTTTGTCTTCATGTTCTTCGTCTTGTTAGCGTCAGTCTCAGCAGAAACATGAAAAACATCCAGCCAGACAAACACAGATCTAGAGGAATTCACTGATACGAATATTTAATTTCCATTTATTAATTAATCTATATTTATTTATTCATTTATTTATTTGTCATTGTCAAATTAAATGGAATTCATGTACTCTAATGAAGTGCAATAAGTGCGTAAGTACAAAAGATTTAGACAGAAAGAAAGAAAGAAAAGAAAAGAAAGGGGGAAAATGTTGATCGTTCTGTTCCATTCGTACTCGTAATAATATCAAAGCATACGGGTCGTGAACCCTTTATTATTCAAGTCAGGTCGCCAGTATTGACGCTTCATCAGATGTTGAACTGGCTGAGGCTATTGTTATTTTCTCGGAAATGTTGAATAGTGCTTGTCTCCCTGCAGCATACATCACACGAATATAGACGTAAGGACAAAACAAAACATTTTGTTTTATTCTACCACAATTGAGATAAAGCATCAAGGACCAAATAAAGAAAAAGATTCGAAAATGTTACCGAACTCGCTTTGAGCGTGTTAGCGTGCTTGCCGTTTTATTATTATTGACGTACGTTCGGGAAATGGATTTAAAAGGCGTTTTCGCTTATCGAAATTTACCATGTATTTTAAAAAGTGCGAATTAGGATTCTGCGTTTTTGTTTTAAGCCTACATGAAAGGAAGCCTTATTATACTGGGATCAAGTGCCTTTTGGGATATTGGGAATTAATGATAAAATGAAGCAAGTTAAGCAAAAATAAAGTGATGTGCGATATAAATGCTCTCATGTAAACCCTATACCAAACTATAAGAGATGATGTTATGTAGACGCAATAAGGGATTAATACATAAGCATCCATATGCAAATTAAGATAAAAGGACGTAGAGATAAGCTTATGCACACAAGTGGTGTTCAAATTCAAAAAAAGCCTCCATATGTTAATGTGTTGGGTGCATGCAAACACGGATTGCGTGTAAATGTAGACGAAATATCAATCTCTAGAAACATTACAATACATCCCAGAATACTGCAAACGATCGTGGCTTTCCACGTGGGCCAATGCATACATGTCTTGTAAACGTGTCTGAGAGTAAATGCGAGAAATATGAGAATAGAATTTAAAAGCCAGACACTTTGGCAGAGTTTTTATTCCGTAGCAGTCGAGTAGTTACAGATTGTTTATCATTACTTAGTTGTTGTTTTTTTTTTATTTTTTTTATTTTTTATTTTTATTTTTATATATATTCAGACAGCAGAGTTAAAAAACGACTTTGTCCTATTTATACCAGTAAAACGATTTACCACTCTTCGGGTCGGGGAAAAAACGTAGGTCTACGGGAGTTTTGCTCGGGTGAATCTCAAAATTGTTTGACAAATATTTTTAAGAAATATTTTCTGAAAATGTTCACACGACAAATTTTATGACAATTAGGAGAAAATAATCGGTCAAACAAAACCATAAAAATGTGAAATAGAACATTTGTTTGATGTGTAGAATTATCAAAAGGAAATCTGCTGTACAAAATGCATGGTTTTATTTTGGATTTTTTTTTACAATCTTTAGATGCCCATTTTTCTCTTAAAACATCGCTGTCTGAATTTTGACAAATTCGAGATATCTAGCCTTTAGAAAAAATTCAAATAAAAACTAAATATAAAAACAGTTGTTAAGTATGTAAACTTTCACGCCAATCAACACACATAAAAGATCAAGCATAAAGCATGACTACTGCAATATCATATGCGCAAAAATATTATCTTTTGAGCAGAAACGTTTGTAATAATGTCAAGACAGCTTTAGATCTATTGAGTAATAATATGTATCATAAATCAAAGAAAGAAAAAGAAAACTTGTGGAATTCAGAAGAAATGTTCGTTTCCTCTTATTTCAACCGTGTTAATATGTTCATCTATCATACTTGATACGTATAGATTTTTAAAAATGCGTTGACTAGCTTAAGAAAAAGAAGATAATTTTAAAACTTAGTAAAACGTCCTAACTGCGTATTAAGTTCCATATCATGAATATCAGCAGGGTTGCAAAAGTCGAGACGAAATTATTTCCACAGACGTTAAAATCAGCGTAAGAAATAAAACAGAAACATTAATGTCCAGAATAAGAAGACCTCATGCCAGACTTTTTTTTATAGACACGAGTAACAAATATTTATGGATAAAGTGGTGATCTGATGTTCGCCTGCTTGGAGCTTGCGTGCAGGTTCTTGGGTTTTCGTTTGTGACAATTAGAATCCACACTTTTAAGGTTGTGTTCGTGTAACACTTCATGGGCACTCAAAACGTTTACTGGAAAGGGGGCATTGGCCGCTGTAGATAATGCTTGTTCGCATTTTCAGCAAATTAACTGTTTGCGTTACTAGCGCGGAATGTCACTAAAAGCATGCGGGAATGGGCATTTGAGGCGAAAACGCGACCTACGGCGCAAAAAAAAAAAAAAAAAAATCAAGACGGTATTTTATCGAAAAATATTCACACAATAATACATGTTACATTTAAAAGACTGGCACTTAATCGAAACTCTAAATTTACAATGAGGTATTTGGATAAATCCCAAATAAAATCGTTCTTGTACAGATGAAGTCTGTCGACTCTTGGGAGCGCTCCTGGTTGCAGTGTTGGTTGCCGTTTCACCAAAAATGCCGAATTTCTTCAATAAATCCGTTCCAACAATACTTACTCGTTTTCATTCATGTAAAAATTTATTTTTCAAAATCCAGGATGATCAGAATTGTTTTAGTGGCATGTTGTCAATAAATGCAACTATATCATACAGGATATTTATCATTATTTAAACACCACACAAAGTATATAAATTTCAAAATACTTAAGATATCCTGTTTAAAGGACAAACTAAGATTATGATCCTTCGTTATTTTAATAATGCATCTTAAATATTTAACGTGTAACAATAGTTAAGTCCAGTACGCACATCATCGTAACTGAGTCACGATGCCCAGCAAACCCTTAAAGGTATTTTAATTATGCCCCACTCCTTTTTTAATGTGCTCTTTTCTAACTGGTGCCTTTTGCAGTTATTAAAGATTAACAATGTTATCATAATAATTTGGCACAAGGAAGATATATAATTTATAAAGTAAATTACCTTGTGAATGTCTTACAGTGATTATTTTTAATCTAATGTGCATAAACACTCACCCACATCTTTTCATTACACATATATATATTACATATACATAAATTGGACCCTATTGATCACAAGATAAAAATCTTTTATCATTTAAATACAAGCTGGAGAAAACATGTTTTATCCCATAACCTTATTGATTTTTAACCACAGCAGATGTAACAGGTACTTTTCCTCCTGCGAACACTATCCACTCAATAACAATAATCTGTGTACATTTGACCTTACCATAAGGACATCTATAAGTATAGGATGTTGTATCAATTAGTGGTCATGTTACACAGTATGTGACCCCATGCCCTGGCCTCACCTTAATACATAACACATCGCTAGTCCAATTAGCACCTTTTCTGATGGAGAAAAAGCAGTCTCTAATCTTGTCCTCACGGGGTAAATTACTTTGACCCCAATATGATCTGACAGTAATTTGAAAACAAGTTATTCTTTTTTAAACAAATTATTCTTTATATATATATGTCACAGTATATATATATATATATATATATATATATATATATATATATATATATATATATATATATATATATATATATATATATATATGACCTTTTGGAACTTCTGTGAAAAACAACTGTAGTCATGCAAGGTAACTGGCTTATTGTATAACACTTTATTTTTGCGGACTTGGGTTCTTGTTGATCATCTTGCCTGTTTTTGTTTTTATTTTGCTGAAATAAGCATTACGGACCAGAGTCCATAGGTGGTAGACCAAAACATTTGACTGATGTTATTTAATCTCTTAGTAAAAAATAATTCTATTTTATCATCCTAATAAGAGACCATGTAAAAGCTCTTTCATAGTATTGAAGAAAATATTACATAATAATAATAATAATAATAATAATGATAATAATAATAATAATGCACAATCAGTTAATACTGCTAATGAAAGTTAAATAAAATGCTAACACACATGAAAAATAACTCTATCTGTTCCTATCAGTAGGTGACGTTTGTCAAAAAAAATCAATGTTTGGCGGAAAAGAGCTTCGTATAAAGAAGACAAGACCAGATAATGAGGCATCAAGGTGTACCACTGTGTCATGCCAACTTGTTATAAATATCACAAAGTTGCCAATCATCACTGCAGATAAATCCATTACTTCACTTTTTGCCAAAAGGTTAACCTTTACAAACCAGGCTTGAATAAAGACCACTTGCTGAATTCCCTTGTGGATATTTCTAACATAATTCTAGGTGAGATGATATTATTTCTGCCACAAAACAAACCACTAATATGTGACAAAAGGTTAAATGGATTTTCCAGGCTGCAGAAATTTGAGCCAAGCCAGCCTGGAAGCACAGCTTGAAGTGAAGACATGCAGAAATAGAAGAATCAGAATAACCGTGAAAGGTTTTTGTAAGTCCTAAGGTCCAAGCTTTGATGGTTGTTGACCATTATTTCAAACTAAGTTCATCCATTCACACACTTGTGCAGGGAAAGTTGCACATGTGCCAGCATATCTACAGCAACACAAAGATTTGGACTAGGTCTTGTGCATTGACAAGGCAAATATAAAATCTTTTCGGTGCTTTTAATTTTTCTCCCTTTTTGCCTCACAAGTTTGTCTACGGTCTAAGAGAAATGTTTTTCTTTTTCTTTACATAGTTTGAAAAACTATCGATAGCTCTTTAAAAATTAGTTAAAATTACAATTATATGATCTCCTCTCCTAATTTCAGACCTTCTCATTAAAAAATTAATAAATTTGAAAAAAATTCTCTCATTCCTTACTTGCAATACAAGTTGCTCTTTTTTACTTAAAGGTATTTTCTGTACATTAACATATCCTGAGAAGCTACAGATTTTTTTCCTGATTCAGACCTTAAAAATGATAAACCCCTCAAATTTAAGTACCTGATGTCAATATTTCCTCCTGAAATGTACAGGAAGACATGGTGGTCTAAATGACTGGCCAGTCGTTTGAAACTAAATCATTTAATTTGAAATGATATAAAACACCAAATCCAAGTGAAGGGAAGGGCTGCACAATGATTCGTGAGTGGGAGAAAATTGCTTATCTTTTCATGGAAAATAATTTTTGGTGGGGAAAATCCCAGACAGGACACCTTTAATTTAGTTTCTTTGAAATATAAAACATTCTAATTAGCAAAGATGTCTCCCATGGGAATCCAGATATTCTTGCACTGGATTGCATGGTACAGGAACTCTTCACCTTGACCTTGTTCCCGGTCAGCCCAGTTTCTGGACAGCCCATAGTTGACCCAGGTGCGCTTGACATTGACCGCAGACGTGTATTCCACAAACTTCGACCCCTCAGCCGAGCCAAAATACCACACCGACTGGATGTCTTGGTGCTCAGTGAGGTACTTGGTGAGATGATCGCGGTCTCCAGTGATGATATTAACTACCCCACCTGGCAGGTCAGATGTATCAAACACCTGAGGATTAGGAAAATAACAGTCATTTTGTTATAAATAAAAAAAATGCATTACTCACCACGATCTTACCACAATTACCTTGGAGAAATGGGGTTAACAGTGTGTGTTAGCATGTATCACAGCATGCCCCAGTGTAAAATTGTCTCCCGCAGCAAGCATGAAACAATAAGGACTGCATGTGTCATACTGGTCACCACAGAGCATGGTACTTGACACCTTAGTCCAATAATATTCTTATTCACCTGATAAAGGTTACGATGAGGTGACAGGGATATTTGAGTCTAAAATCACAAAATGCACAGCGGAAACCAGCAAAGCAAGATTGACTTAAATACGCAATATTAAAAACCACACAAGCTTTTCCCTGATTCAGGTTACACGCTGTATGCTGGATGCCAATCTCACGCCAGCTCACCTGATACAAGTCCAGGGCTGACAGGGGATACTTCTCGCTTGGCAAAATAACAATGCAATTTCCACGGATAACTGCTGGAGCAAACAAGGACACAAAACCCAGCAGAGGATACTCATCAGGGCAAGCTATGCCAATGACACCCACTGGTTCATGAATCTTTACTGTGCAACCATACAGGGTGGTTTCCTGAAATATACCATAATTTATACATTAGAAAAAAAAGAGCCAATAACAACATACATTACTTCTCTTTTATTCAGTTTTTTACAATATTTATCAATCAAGTAAAAAGAAAAAAAAACTTATTCTAAACAACATTTCTTTTCTGCAACAATATTTGCTGCCTAAAAAACTGATTCACTACTTAGAACCACATCTTTATGACAATAACCTCATCTCCCTGTGAAACAGTGAAAGAAGGTATTAGACAGAATGCACTACCTGCACAGTGCCTCCATACTTGTCACAATAGGCGCCCCAGTGGAAAAGCCTCTGTATGGCCAGGTCCACCTCCTGCAGCCCCGCCTCCAGTTTCTGACCTGTCATACTGCAGATCCTCTGTGCCACCTCCTGGCGACGTAGCTCCAAGTTTTCCGCCATGTAGTAGACTATCTGGGCCCGGTTGTGTGCTGCTCGCTTGCCCCATCTATTATATATCAAAATCAACCCAATAAAATGTCTTGTGGATTTTTTTCCAATTATCTGTTTCTGACATAACCATCAACTGCATTTTTTATGTTAAAAAAAGAAGAATGCATAAATACAAAATAAAACAAGTTTCAAATATGGTACAAGTTTAAAATATGGTTTAACATTACTGAGCTAGCTTAAGCTGGCAAACATACACCCCACTGATTGCATCAAGACTGAAAAGATAACAACTGATATCAGTCTAAACCCTAATAAATGATCCTGTAAAACAAAGAAAAATATTTTAGCACAAATCAAGGCTACAATACAGGAGAATGTCTGTTTAAATTGCTTAAAAGGGTGTTACATTTGAAGCAGTGATTCCACGATTCAGAAGCCAATTTTCAAAGTAAACCTGTATGTCAGCTTTCCTGATGTCTCTACATGTACAAGCCTGGCTGGAAAATAAAACTGAACTGTCAAATTTATTTGAAGACCAAACACTTCATTGCCTGCCAGTCCAGGGATTGGTTTAGGCATTAAGATTAAATTTACAATGTCAGAATTATGTGATTTTGCATAAAACCTCTGTTGCTACATATGTAAATTCGCTGGCAGTGTCTGCTCTTAAAATTAAAATTTTGTCAAACAAAAATAAATTTTCAAACACTAAAAAATGTCACCAAATACTGAAACATAGAATGCTAATCTGCATGTCAATCTCAAAGATTTTAGTCCTGGCAATTATACTACTGTCAGCTGAAATAATGAACATCTTCCAAATTTATCACTGCATACAAAGAAACAACTCTAAATGAACAGAGAAACGTACCCTGGTGCTGCTTTATGTGCCACTTCCACTGCATTCCTGATGTCTTTCCTGTTCCCCTCACCCACATGAGCCAGCACTTTACCATTAGGACCCATTACTGGCCTGGCATAGGGAGCATCAGGGCGCTTCTGGGCACCACCATAGTACATCTTATAGGTGCGGTCAATACTGAAAATTAAATTGTTCAGAGCCTGTCAAAAAATATCCATCTATGTGCATGTGTTCATGGTAAATACTGCAAGATATCATTAATTTTTTAAATACTGCTATTGGAAGAATTTTTTAAATTGAGATTAGATATGTTATCAGTAGTTCCCATATTTCAACACTATTGATAAACATTTTTATTTTTTTTGTGTGTGAAATTTCTGAATAACAAAATGCGAATGAAAAGGCTAATTAAAACCTTGTTATTGATTTCTAGATATCAGCATGAAAAGCTTGATGCCAAAAGGATGTCAACAACTTTTTTCAAATAGGTTCAAACTGAACTGGTCACAAGAGAAAATCATTAATATCTTGGGTCTTTGTAATTTAAAGTGATCTAATCATTAAGTGTAAAAACTATCTGACTGGCTCTTACAATTCCTCTTTTAATTTTAAAATTCACATTTTGTCTGCATCTTCCTGTCATTAATACAGGTTCTCCAATGTACTCATGTTCGTACGCTTGTTCTCAAATACACGCAAACGAAACCTGTGCAGTGGTGCATTTTACAGATATAAATAGGGTGGTAATCCATTAACAGATTAAATATCTTTTGTGGTTTTTATCATTGTTACCTTGCAGCACTTTCGTATCTATCAGCATGTAATGAAACAATGCATTCTGTTCACTCAATCCATCACGACATTTGGAATGCTTTAACACAAAATATTCATACTTTCTTTTGTAAATATTACCAAGACCAATAATCCAAACCAGAGTTTTTTGGCAAATGAATTTTTTCTTCAAAGGTTAATCAGTGTGATATTTGAAACTAACCTTAGCCAGAAATATCAGGGTGCATTGCCCTTGCAAAGTTAATTATTGAGGGCTCTCAGCACCGACTTCCAATTATATATACTATTGTTCAAACACACACACAAACAAACACATAAACAAAAACACACACACAACCCTTATGACCACTTATATTTGAAAAAAAAAATCAAATGCACTTACATGGTCAGTGTACCTATATTAATAAAATATATGACATCATGACTCCCTATTACATTTTTTAAACACAAAAAAAAGAGAAGCAAAACAAAATTAATTATCTCTTTACCCTTTCTGTCCAGTATTTAGGAAAATTCTGGACCTGACATATTATAAATAACTCAAAAAAACGTGAATATCACAAATCAATCTAAAACAACAATATCAAGTTCAGCAAAAATGTTAAACATAAAAAATTATCACTATAATAGTGCCTTTCCACAGAATCTCTCATTCCCTCAAGATTTTTACATTCATGTTATAAGAAATATCATGTTAAAAAAAAGAAATGAACATCATTCTAATTTCTCTTAAGTTAACTGGTAATCATTTTTTAGTTAACTGACAAGACAAATAAAATCTTTGGCAGGGGGAAGGACAATACAAGATGGCTTTTTTTTTAAATGATATTCAGTTAAACAGCAGCAGTACCTGGGCAGTGTCACACCATCTGTTGTAATATCTGTGGAAGAATTGTTGGTGATGGTAGGCCTGGCTGCCAATGTAGCACCAAATGCCTTGTAGTCAATATCTCCAACCTCTGGCCTGGCTCTCTCCTCCCAGGCTGGTCTAGTGTACTCAAAAAAACCCTGGGGAAATGTGATTAATTCAGCCTTCCACAATGATCAATGATAAAACAATGTTGTGGTAATCCCAAACATAATTTATGACAAGAGCATTTNATCGGCATCGGCATCGCCATCGCCATCGGCATCGGCATCGGCGACGACAGACGCAGGTGATGGCAATATGTACAGACACATCTGTGTCTGTACATAATAATTCTACTTTATCATCCTATTAAGAGACCATGTAAAAGCTCTTCCATAGTATTGAAGAAATTATTACATAATAATAATAATAATAATAATAATAATAATAATGCACAATCAGTTAATAGTGCTAATGAAAGTTAAATAAAATGCTAACGCACATGTAAAATAGCTCTATCTGTTCCTATCAGTAGGTGACGTTTGTCAAAAAAAAAAATCAATGTTTGGCGGAAAAGAGCTTCGTATAAAGAAGACAAGACCAGATAATGAGACATCAAGGTGTACCACTGTGTCATGCCAACTTGTTATAAATATCACAAAGTTGACAATCATCACTGCACATAAATCCATTACTTCACTTTTTGCCAAAAGGTTAACCTTTACAAACCAGGCTTGAATAAAGACCACTCGCTGAATTCCCTTGTGGATATTTCTAACATAATTCTAGGTGAGATGATATTATTTCTGCCGCAAAACAAACCACTAACGTGTGACAAAAGGTTAAATGGATTTTCCAGGCTGCAGAAATTTGAGCCAAGCCAGCCTGGAAGCACAGCTTGAAGTGAAGACATGCAGAAATAGAAGAACCAGAATAACCGTGAAAGGTTTTTGTAGGTCCTAAGGTCCAAGCTTTGATGGTTGTTGACCATTATTTCAAACTAAGTTCATCCACACACACTTGTGCAGGGAAAGTTGCACATGTGCCAGCATATCTGCAGCAACACAAAGATTTGGACTAGGTCTTGTGCATTGACAAGGCAAATATAAAATCTTTTCAGTGCTTTTAATTTTTCTCCCTTTTAGCCTCACAAGTTTGTCTATGGTCTTAGAGAAATGTTTTTCTTTTTCTTTACTTAGTTTGAAAAACTATCGATAGCTCTTTAAAAATTAGTTAAAATTACAATTATATGATCTCCTCTCCTAATTTCAGACCTTCTCATTTAAAAAAAATAAATTTGAAAAAAATTCTCTCATTCCCTACTTGCAATACAAGTCGCTCTTTCTTACTAAGGGGCATTTTCTGTACATTTACATATCCTGAGAAGCTACAGATTATTTCCTGATTCAGACCTTAAAAATGATAAAACCCCTCATATTCAAGTACCTGATGCCAATATTTCCTCCTAAAATGTACAGGAAGACATGGTGGTCTAAATGACTGGCCAGTTGTTTGAAACTAAATCATTTAATTTGAAATGATAAAAAACACCAAATCCAAGTGAAGGGAAGGGCTGCACAATGATTCGTGAGTGGGAGAAAATTGCTTATCTTTTCATGGAAAATTATTTTTGGTGAGGAAAATCCCAGACAGGACACCTTTAATTTAGTTTCTTTGAAATATAAAACATTCTAATTAGCAAAGATGTCTCCCATGGGAATCCAGATATTCTTGCACTGGATTGCATGGTACAGGAACTCTTCACCTTGACCTTGTTCCCGGTCAGCCCAGTTTCTGGACAGCCCATAGTTGACCCAGGTGCGCTTGACATTGACTGCAGACGTGTACTCCACAAACTTCGACCCCTCCGCAGAGCCAAAATACCACACCGACTGGATGTCTTGGTGCTCAGTGAGGTACTTGGTGAGATGATCGCGGTCTCCGGTGATGATATTAACTACCCCACCTGGCAGGTCAGATGTATCAAACACCTGAGGATTAGGAAAATAACAGTCATTTTGTTATAAATAAAAAAATGCATTACTCACCACGATCTTACCACAATTACCTTGGAGAAATGGGGTTAACAGTGTGTGTTAGCATGTATCACAGCATGCCCCAGTGTAAAATTGTCTCCCGCAGCAAGCATGAAACAATAAGGACTGCATGTGTCATACTGGTCACCACAGAGCATGGTACTTGACACCTAAGTCCAATAATATTCTTATTCACCTGATAAAGGTTACGATGAGGTGACAGAGATATTTGAGTCTAAAATCACAAAATGCACAGCGGAAACCAGCAAAGATTGACTTAAATACGCAATTTTAAAAACCACACAAGCTTTTCCCTGATTCAGGTTACACGCTGTATGCTGGATGCCAATCTCACGCCAGCTCACCTGATACAAGTCCAGGGCTGACAGGGGATACTTCTCGCTCGGCAAAATAACAATGCAATTTCCACGGATAACTGCTGGAGCAAACAAGGACACAAAACCCAGCAGAGGATACTCATCAGGGCAAGCTATGCCAATGACACCCACTGGTTCATGGATCTTTACTGTGCAACCATACAGGGTGGTTTCCTGAAATATATCATAATTTATACAATAGAAAAAAAAAAAAACGGGAGGGGGGGGCTAATAACAACATGCATTACTTCTCATTTATTCAGTTTTTTACAATATTTATCAATCAAGTAAAAAGAAAAAAAAAAACTTATTCCAAACAACTTTTCTTTTCTGCAACAATATTTGCTGCCTAAAAAAATGATTCACTTCTTTGAACCACATCTTTATGACAATAACCTCATCTCCCTGTGAAACAGTGAAAGAAGGTATTAGACAGAATGCACTACCTGCACAGTGCCTCCATACTTGTCACAATAGGCGCCCCAGTGGAACAGCCTCTGTATGGCCAGGTCCACCTCCTGCAGCCCCGCCTCCAGTTTCTGACCTGTCATACTGCAGATCCTCTGTGCCACCTCCTGGCGACGTAGCTCCAAGTTTTCCGCCATGTAATAGACTATCTGGGCCCGGTTGTGTGCTGCTCGCTTGCCCCATCTATTATATATCAAAATCAACCCAATAAAATGTCTTGTGGATTTTTTTCCAACTATCTGCTTCTGACATAACCATCAACTGCATTTTTTATGTTAAAAAAAGAAGAATGCATAAATACAAAATAAAACAAGTTTGAAATATGGTACAAGTTTAAAATATGGTTTAACATTACTGAGCTAGCTTAAGCTGGCAAACATACACCCCAGTGATTGCATCAAGACTGAAAAGATAACAACCAATATCAGTCTAAACCCTGATAAATGATCCTGTAAAACAGGGAAAAGTATTTTAGGAAAAATCAAGGTGGCAATACAGGAGAATGTCTGTTTAAATTGCTTAAAAGGGTGTAACTTTTGAAGCATTGATTCCACAATTAAGAGGCCAATTTACAAAGTCAACCTGTATGTCAACTTTCCTGATGTCTCTACATGCCTACAGCCTACTTGCTCTACTTGCTGGAAAATAACACTCTGAACTGTCAAATTTATTTTAAGACCAAGCACTTCACTGCCGGCCAGTCCAGGAGTTGGTTTAGGAATTAAGATTAAATTTAAAATGTCAAAATTATGCGACTTTGCAGAAAATCTCACTGACAGTACCTGCTCATAAAAATAAATACACTGTCAAACAAATATAAATTGTCAAACACTAAAAAAATGTCACCAAATACTGAAATATAGAATACTAATCTGCATGTCAAACTCAAAGATTTTAGTCCTCGCAAACATACTACTGTCAACTGAAATGATGAACATCTTCCAAATTTAGCACTGCATACAAAGAAACAACTCTAAATGAACAGAGAAACGTACCCTGGTGCTGCTTTATGCGCCACTTCCACTGCATTCCTGATGTCTTTCCTGTTCCCCTCACCCACATGAGCCAGCACTTTACCATTAGGACCCATTACTGGCCTGGCATAGGGAGCATCAGGGCGCTTCTGGGCACCACCATAGTACATCTTATAGGTGCGGTCAATACTGAAAATTAAATTGTTCAGAGCCTGTCAAAAAATATCCATCTATGTGCATGTGTTCATGGTAAATACTGCAAGATATCAATAATTTTTTAAATACTGCTATTGGAAGAATTTTTTAAATTGAGATTAGATATGTTATCAGTAGTTCCAATATTTCAACACTATTGATAAAAATTTTTATTTTTTTTGTGTGAAATTTCTGAATAACAAAATGCGAATGAAAAGGCTAATTATAACCTTGTTATTGATTTCTAGATATCAGCATGAAAAGCTTGATGCCAAAGGATGTCAACAATTTTTTTCAAATAGGTTCAAACTGAACTGGTCACAAGAGAAAATCATTAATATCTTGGTTCTTTGTAATTTAAAGTGATCTAATCATTAAGTGTAAAAACTATCTGACTAGCTCTTACAATTCCTCTTTTAATTTTAAATTTCACATTTTGTCTGCATCTTCCTGTCATTAACATAGGTTCTCCAATGTACTCATGTTCGTACACTTGTTCTCAAATACACGCAAACGAAACCTGTGCAGTGGTGCATTTTACAGATATAAATAGGGTAGTAATCCATTAACAGATTAAATATCTTTTGTGGTTTTTATCATTGTTACCTTGCAGCACTTTCGTATCTATCAGCATGTAATGAAACAATGCATTCTGTTCACTCAATCCATCACGACATTTGGAATGCTTTAACACAAAATATTCATACTTTCTTTTGTAAATATTACCAAGACCAATAATCCAAACCAGAGTTTTTTGGCAAATGAATTTTTTCTTCAAAGGTTAATCAGTGTGATATTTGAAACTAACCTTAGCCAGAAATATCAGGGTGCATTGCCCTTGCAAAGTTAATTATTGAGGGCTCTCAGCACCGACTTCCAATTATATATACTATTGTTCAAACACATACACAAACAAACACATAAACAAAAACACACACACAACCCTTATGACCACTTATATTTGAAAAAAAAAAAATCAAATGCACTTACATGGTCAGTGTACCTATATTAATAAAATATATGACATCATGACTCCCTATTACATTTTTTAAACACAAAAAAAAGAGAAGCAAAACAAAATTAATTATCTCTTTACCCTTTCTGTCCAGTATTTAGGAAAATTCTGGACCTGACATATTATAAATAACTCAAAAAAACGTGACTCCCACAAATCAATCTAAAACAACAATATCAAGTTCAGCAAAAATGTTAAACATAAAAAATTATCACTATAATAGTGCCTTTCCACAGAATCTCTCATTCCCTCAAGATTTTTACATTCATGTTATAAGAAATATCATGTTAAAAAAAAAAGAAATGAACATCATTCTAATTTCTCTTAAGTTAACTGGTAATCATTTTTTAGTTAACTGGCAAGACAAATAAAATCTTTGGCAGGGGGAAGGACAATACAAGATGGCTTTTTTTTTTTAATGATATTCAGTTAAACAGCAGCAGTACCTGGGCAGTGTCACACCATCTGTTGTAATATCTGTGGAAGAATTGTTGGTAATGGTAGGCCTGGCTGCCAATGTAGCACCGAATGTCTTGTAGTCAATATCTCCAACCTCTGGCCTGGCTCTCTCCTCCCAGGCTGGTCTAGTGTACTCAAACAAACCCTGGAAAAATGTGATTAATTCAGCCTTCCACAATGATCAATGATAAAACAATGATGTGGTAATCCCAAACATAATTTATGACAAGAGCACTTCTTATTCCAATTCATTCTAAACCCTTTTTCAAGTTTGAAAAAAAAACAAAAAAAAAAAAACCTTTTATCCAGCCAACTCTGTAACAAAACCCACAGACAGTGACTGTGAAATAAAGATTCATCCAACACAAAAAACAAGCATAAGTACCTCCTTCCCACCATCTCTGCCATAGCCACTCTCCTTGTATCCGCCAAACCCTGCAGCAGCATCAAACATGTTGTGGCAGTTGACCCAGACTGTGCCTGCCTTGATGTTTAGCGCCATCTCTAGTGCTAGGCTGATCTTCTCTGTCCACACACTGCCGCCCAGACCATAATTGGTGTTGTTGGCAAGAGCTATGGCCTCTTTAGCTGTCCTGAATGGAAGCACCACCAAGACAGGCCCAAAGATCTAAATGATAACATTAAGACCTGCATGTGTTATTGGTGTTTTTTTTATATTCATATATTTTTATTCAAAGTTTATTTATTTAATCTTTGATACCACCAGCAATTGTTCTCACACATCCATACACAGCATGGAATATAAACCTTGTGGTACACATATACTAAATTCCAATGATTCAACTTTTTTTAGGAAAAGGCTTGCTCTGAATCTAAGTTTGATGTACATTTTATGTCAATATTGTGAAAAAGGGCAATTTTACAAAGAAAAAAATGTAACTTCTAAATCCACTAATAAGTTTTCCTATGAATTTCATAGATTTTAAAAACATTCTTATTCTACATTAATTACTTCATTAATAACAATAATTGAAAAGAAAGAAAGGGGTGTAATTCTTACTGCATATCAAATCAGGATATCATTAATAATAATAATAATAATAATAATAATAATTATAATAAACACATTTCAACGACAAAAATTGTCCTTTTTTTTATAAAGTAAAGAAAATAATCTCTTAAATACCTCTTCCTGGACGACCCTGGAAACGGTCTGCACATTCGTGATGAGAGTCGGAGGATAGAAGCAGCCTACCTGGGGCACTCCACTTGGCTGGTAAACCTGAAGACAAAAAATCCATCAACATGCTTCAGCTCAAAGAAACATGATAGCAAGTGACAACAGTTCGTGATGAAAGTGAAGTGGTGCGTAAAATGACGGATTGTGTAAAATATCTGATAAATTTACAGCACACCTGAGGCATGTGCTGTTATTGACACTTGCTATACGTACTGAACGATAAAAGATTTTCCAGTTATAGCGTTTCTGTGAAAATTAACAGGAAACATACCTATGCTTTTAAAATTAAGATTTTTGTTTATTTCATTGAAAACAAATCCCTAAAAGATCCCATGAAAAAGTCATTTGGCCTGTGTTCATTATTTGTATCAAATAAAGTTGTTGATAGTGATTGTTTTTTTTTTTAATTTTCTGAAAGGTTTAAAATGCTAAACACTGCATAAAAAAATTATCACTTGATAAGCTCTGTCCAAGTGTACAATAAGTGACTGAAATACAGGAATATATTTCTTTTTTAAATATACCTCACTTAATCCTGGGCAGACAATGAAAATAAGAAACACTTTCTTTTTCATTCTGAGACATAAAATCTATGTTCAAAGCCTCAAAACAACATAAAAACATTAAGATCATTCAATATTTTATAACCTTCCCTGTACTTAAAAAAGTATCCAGCAAACAAAAAGCAATGATAACTTGCTTTTCATATTTATACATATTCCAACAAAAAAAATTACCTATTGCTTTACACGTATGTCTTTTCTCCGGTAACCTTCATTTAAAATTGATGGCAAATCCATGAAAATCATATTTCATGAGATTACATTTGTAATTAACTGGTCCCCACCCTGGACCTACCTCTGCCCCCTCACGCCTGGCCTCCTCCACATATTCTACTACAGTCCTGTACTGAGACTGATCCACTAAGGCTCCCATGTCGATGTTCTTTTGCAGGCTGTTCCCTACCCTGAAGTGGGTGAGACGTTCCTTCAGTTTGTTCACTAGTTCCTCCATCACTGGTTCTTGAACTAGAAGTTTTGATCCAGCACTACAAACCTGTAGATAGAATCACTTATTTCACTTCTACCAAAACCTTTAAATATGAGGCATTTTTGAAAAGATTTATTTGAGTAAGTTTGGAATATTTACATAATTCAAATATGTTCTTAAAGATTCTAGGGAGTCACGTTATTTCCGAGAGAGAATAAAAGAAGAATTTTTCTAATTTCTATAAAGATAAGTAGAATTTTTTATAGACAGTATTGTTGAATACGGGCAAAAAGCACATTACACTACACTTGATTGCCTGAGCAGACTTCAATTAAAAATCCCACCTGTCCCTGGTTGAACCAGATGGCATCCACTATTCCCTCCACGGCACTGTCCAGATCTGAGGACTCAAAAACCACCACTGGAGACTTGCCACCAAGCTCCAAGGACAATTTCTTACCTGTGCCTGCCAGGACACGCCGCAGCGTCTGTCCTACCTGAAGAACATGTTTGAAAAAATTGAATTCCAAAAATGAACACCTACCATTGTCATACATTTACAGTATAGTCTCTAAAAAGATTGTCAAGAACATAATTATTACATATGGAAGAAGAGGAAGGACCACTGATATATTTGTCTGGACACCATGCATGGACATCAATACAAATGCAATGAAATTGACCCATCAACTAAATATACCATATGAATTACACAGAAAAATTACACATTATACATAATTACACACAACTTGTGCAGAGCAAGAATTTTTAAATATATTTTAGGAGAGCAAAAACCATAATTCCAATTAAAATTCTATTAAGATTACTATAGCTTATGAACTTTCAACATTTTCACCTGTGTTGATCCAGTGAAGGCCACTTTATCAACATCAGGATGACATGCCAGCAAGCTACCAAAGGCACCATTCCCTGTGACCACATTAAACACACCAGGTGGCAGGCCAGCCTCAGCACACACTTCTGCCAGTAACAAGGCACTCAGTCGCGTGTACGTAGCAGGCTTCAGGACTACAGTGTTCCCCATTGCTAAAGCTGGGGCAACCTTCCAAGTGAGCAACATCAGAGGGAAGTTCCAGGGCACAATGCCACCAACAACACCTGAAGAGTAGAAGATAATATTTATTATTCTTCTGGTGTCAAAAAATATTTTTGAAATACATATATCAGGTATGCATGCTTAATTAAAAGTAATAAAAAACTTGTTATGTCTTAAAATATAGTCATAAAATATAGAAAATTTAAAACTGGATATTGTGAACAATTTCATCCATGCGTACCCACTGACTTCCATCCCCTCATCTCCATATCCATGAGTTGTGCCCAGCCTGCGTGGTGATAAAAATGGCGGACTACGGTGGGAATGTCAGCATCTCTAGTCTCACGGAATGGCTTGCCATTGTCCATGCTCTCCAGTACACTGAACAGACGCATGTGTTTCTGCACATGACGGGCAATACTGTATGGTAAAGAAACAGTATTGTAAATTTTAAATATACATGTACTAGTAAGACAGCAACATTGTAATAGATAGTACAAAACTGGATCAGAGTTCCCAAAAGTGCAATATTTGGGGTTTCTTGATGCTGTTTTAGGGAAAATAATCCTACATTCTGTTGTCCCAACCAGTGATTTAAAAATAGTAGAACTGCGTCATAATTTTAGGCTGGGTCCAAAGTGACCCCTAATCAAAACAATAATAAATAAATAAATAAATAAATAAATAAATAAATAAATAAATAAACTTGAGAAAACTGTATCATAACATGGCTGAGTCTTGAGTGAATTGGTTTGTGCTCTCAACCTCTGCCTTCCTATACACTTTTACCACCTACATGAAACTCACTTAACTTACATTACAGTAAGAGAAGAATAAAATCTTCCTTTTGAATCATGTTTTTTTGTATGGATAAAAACAAATAACCAAAATAAGAAGTTATATCAACCAAATACAAAAAATGTACAGGTAATAGATTGACAGCATATCATGAGTCCCTAGGTAGAAAACACTTCAACTTTCCACACATTTTTCCTGTTGGATCAAAATTCATTTGCTACATGATCACAGAAGTAGCAGCATTTGGTTCTAAAACACAAAATTAGATGTAATATTTTGGGCTGAGGTCTCAGGCTGATGGGTTGGATTACAGAGACGCACCACTATGCCTCAGACATGCAAATCAATCCCCAGTGAACTGATATATTGTCTGCTGACATATTTAAAACAACACAGTTTTAACTTGGTGCTGGTAAGAATGAACCTATGCAAACTTAAAATATACCTGTATAAGTGCCTGGCTCGCACATGACCAGGGGTTTTACTCCAAGTTTCATAAGCCTTGCATGCGGAGGCCACTGCAAGGTCGACATCTGCCTTTTCTCCCTGGATGGTAGATGCCAAGACTTCACCTAGGACAGGAAATAAGACACCAAACAGATTTTCATTTCATGTTCCGCATTTCGCCATCTCTTTTTTTTTCCTTCTCTTATGATGTATAACAATGGGTGTGCTTGATTTCTTATTTCGTGCTCACATGCAAGCCCTCATTACATAAACAACATGCTACAGTTTCTCTTGTTTTCTCTCTAGATCTCTTTCAAGTATCTCTTTATCAAATGATTGTATCGGTTAGGAATATCACATTATAAAAAATCAAGCTGTTAAAATCAATAAATGGTAACTTTCTTTCAAGTCAAGGTGATCTTGTTTAGTACCTCTTTCATCTTACAATCTAAACTTTTCTAGCACTTCTAGTAAAAACACAGAAAAGTGGGCACAAAAATTAGATGTGACTGACGTTTTGTGCAAAAGAAGGAAAACTGTCACATAAAACTAAAAATAGTTAGGTCACCAAAACCATCTGCGTTACCTGCAACAGTATATCATACACGTTAGACAGCACTGTAAATCAACATTTAAATAATCTAAGCATTAAAAGGCATCACTAAAAACAGTGGCATAAAAGTAGCTAAAAAGACCCATTCTTATCACTGTTGAAGCTATTCAAGTTGAGAACATGATGGTCATTACCAGTGGATGGATTCTTGGTCTCATAGGTCTTTCTCCCTTCAGGTATTACCCATTTGTTGTCAATAAAATGCCCGAAGCTTCTTTTATGGTCCTGCAACCATGCCTGTAAATAAACTCTTAGAGTGAGTTGGTAATGTGTGGCGTATATCTTTGCCAACATTTAAAATCATTCAAGATAATTTGAACTTGTTGAATCGAGTACAGAAATACAGTAGCTTAATAGTAAAATAATGAAAATGTAAGGAAGTTAAATGATTTATAAAATATAGTGAAGCTTAATCAGTTCCACTGAAAGCAAACTTGTAAATTTTAAATATAGCAAACTAGTACCTAGGCATAAGCTAAAGTCAGAAACCACAATTATAGAACAAATGCAACATATAAATTTTAATCAATATAGAATGACTGTGCAGACAAATTACTGATAACACACATCAGACTTGTCAAACAGAAATTCTTTTTTAGGTTAATACATTGGTTTGAAAGGCAGAAATCAGAATTCAAATTCATGTAGTACATTTCATGGACCTGCATAAAGGTAGCTTTTATCATGCACAAAACACTGCATATGCAAGACAGACTACAGTATTTTATAACTGTCTGGTAGCAATGACACAAGTCTTTTCTGTCTCTGATACACACTGTGATATGTATACAGTCAGACCTACAAAGTGTGTAATAAATCAGACAGAGAATACCAGTTTAACATGCGATTGTTTTAATACTGTCTAAAATGCAAGGTGAATTGCTGAGCATATAGTCCAAACAGTCGATTTGTAGCACACCGTTTTTGTGTTTGGTATTTTTATGTTAATATGTGCTACACTGCAACTCTTGTGTATATTTTTACACAACACTGAATAGTACTGATACATGCAGTGACCTTTCAGCAAGTTTATGGGATTAAAAATTGGTCATCAAAGACTTTCCTCCTATACATATTTATTTATTTATATTTATGACTGTTTAAGGTGGGATTATTGAAATCTCATCAAAAATTAATATTTTTCTAATTGACTATGTATCTTAGATTCTTTTCCAGCATTTCAAATTATTTCCATTACTTTGACAATACAGAACATCCTTACAAACTTCAACCACCACAGAAATAGAGTTTGGCTGAATTTTACTTCTTCAACAATAAAACAGCAAATTCCACAGTTGGATAAATTGAATATGGTATCCAAATCCATACCCAAGTATGTGCATGGCAGCTTGATATAAGTAAATATATCTTAAAGACAATAACTGCTCCATGGCATAGAGGTTTTTTTTCCATACCAATTGCACACAGCACTTCAAATATCACCAGTTAGAAGCTCATATATATTATCCAAATAGAACTCCACTGTGTTAGAGAAGAGGGGTGAGATTTTATCACAATATAATTGATTGTATTAAAAAAGACACTGGGTAAGATTCAATCACAGCGTGGAGAAAAAGTTGCATTCAAATGATATCATATTGTCTGATTACATTGTAAGTCAACCTAAGAAACAGACACATACTAGTAATAACCAAACGAAACCTACCTGTAAATTCTGAGTAAAGTTAGAACAATTAGTAATTTTGTATGTACAGACAAAAATTAAATTATGTGATCAAAGTTGTATATTGATATTTAGATATTTTAATTATTCAGAACTGTGAGCAGAAGCACAAGAAATAAAGAAAATACTTTTTTCACTTTCATAATCAAGTCAAGCAGTCCAAATTGAATTGGAAAGACAGGTTCTTTGTCCAGAGAAAGCAAGAGTTCAAAAAAAGACCTTCGTGTAAACATGACCGTGTGGTTGACTTGCTTTCTTTGTTCACATTGATGAAGATTTCATACCACAAACCTCAGATCTGAGTATAACCATATCAAATGCATTTTGTTCACTACATACAAAAAATAACGAAGCCTAGGAGAGACTAACAAGTCACAGGTGGTTCAAATTTACATTCACTTACAGTTGTACTTATGCAGTATGCCCCTAGTTAAAGTTACAGGTCCTTCACCTCAGTTTTCAGCCTCAGATTTACTTTTTTTTTTTGGCTGAAATCTGAGGCAAACAGGCTCTTGACTTTCTTTAAATGCTTTTCCACTTAATTCTGTTATGTGGTGACTATTGTCGATGTCTCCGTTTTAAGTCATGCAATTTCCTCATTTTTTCTATGTTGTTGCATTGCATTTCAAACCATTTAAATACATAGAGAGTTGAGGTTACTATAGGAGTAAACAAACCGCAGAAATATCAGTCAGAAAATTGCAAAATTGTTTCATTTGGATAGCAGAGTCATTTATTTTTTCAAAGTCACCTCAAAACCGAGAGGCACACTGCACTACATGTACTAGTTCACAAAAACGTAAACTGCAGTGCATGTACAGTCTCTTAAGGCCTAACTAATGAACTACATAGCATATTCAATATGTATAACACTATTTTAACAAGAAGCACCTGTACGACGTTATCGGCCTCTGGAGCAGGGCCATAATCCATCTTTTTGAAGATCTCGGCAATACTGTTCGGATCTTTTTGGCTTGGTTGTGTAGCTGCCATGCTGCAGTTATCCCTTGACTCGTTTTCGTATAAGTATTATGTAACGCAATGTTATGGTATTGATGAGAACGAGGTATTTGTTTTCTATTTACCGCTCTGTTTTACCTTGACCCAATACGTACTTGACCTAATTAATCTCACATGAAAAAAAAACAAGAACTTACGATAGGGGGCAGCACGTTACAAAACAACGCTTGTTTCTCGTAATGTTGAGAAGATTGTACATAAACCATGCTTCTGTAGTATTTTAAAAGTGAATAACTGTAAGTTCAGTGTAAGGGTTGTGACATGGCGGGTATGACGAGCACAGACCTCTTGGAAGCAGAGCTGGAAGAAAATGCTATCTACAAAAAGTTGCTGATGGAGGTGATTGTCGACCGTCTTATATTCTTTCCGAACTAGAATCCAAGATAGATCTTTGATCCTAGTTCCAAATAATTTTAAGTATGACTGGTAATTATAATGATGTTGACATTAATTATAAAATGTTGACATGAGCGTTTAATTGATCCAAGCCAGGATTTTGAACCCATTATAAGTCCATGAATCACTTTTTGTTAAACTTATTTGAGGACACTTAAATATCGATATATTGAGAGATAAATGGCCTTTATCAATATTGTAAAAACTAATGACATTCACCATCCCCTTTTCATCCTCGGTATTGCTCGAGCCATCTTGACACAATTTGAAAATAAGGCGGTTTGAACATACCGTGTAGCCCAAAGAGCGCATTCTCAACGATTTAAGCCAGGCTTTACAAAGCCGGTGACCTAAAAATGGCGGACGTACATGAAAGAAAAACCGCCTAATCTTTTAATAGTCTCTCCGCCTCCCCACACGTCGTCCCTGCGGGGTACAGTAATTAAATCTCGGCTCCGTTCGCCATGCGGAAGCCACCTGAGAAATATTAAGTGCGCATGCTCATCAGTTAAACTCGTGGTGAAGAAAGCATGGCGGCTGAAGGCGATCGAAGGAAAAAGCTCTTCTGTTCTATTATCTTTGAAAACAGAGACGAAAAAGGAATAATTTGGCCCGTAGAGCAGCAATGAATCGACTATCTACGGAGATAATATCACCAGAGATATTCACGGAAATATTAATGTTCGGAGCCGAGATTTAATTACTGTACCATGCAGGGACGACGTGTGGGGAGGCGTGTGAGAGGCGGAGAGACTATTAAAAGATTAGGCGGTTTTTTTTTCATGTACATCCCCCCTTTTTAGGTCACCCGCCTTGTAAAACCCGGCTTAATTCGTTGAGAAAGCGCTCTAAGGTCTTATCACATCCAGAAGTTGAGTCAGTGGAATGAATGGGGTATCTAGAAAACCCGCGCTTAAAAGGGCAACTCCATGGGATTTTGCCACCAGTTAATTGTTAGAGGCTCTATCCACGTATCTGACAATCCCCACAGTCATACGCATGTCCTGTAAAGATAAGTATATTTTCCAATTCAGACTCTAAAGACAGTTTATACCTCATGTCTCTTTTGTCTTCCCAGCCTCCTCAAATAGCCACTGCCAGCTTGCAAAGCCTATATTTAATATGGCACAGGGCTGTGATACAAAACAACCTACCATTTTCTTGTGTGAAAATAAGGCAATGAGCTGACAACCAATGTTTTCAATAATAATCGGCTTGTCAAATTAAGGTATTAGATTAAAAAAGGAATAAAACATCAAATCCAAGTGCAAAGATGGGTCAAGCAATTGCTTTTTACCCCAGAAAAATTCATTTTGACAAGAAAAGCCCATGGAGTTTCCATGGAGTTTTTGGTTATCTTTGCTTTTTCCAAAATTATTACAGAGATACATGTATGGCAAGAGTCAGAAATGGAAGACTTACAAGTAAATGGTTGGAAAGAGGGGGGAGAGGTTTTTTACCCCTAGAAAATTAATTTAATGTGAATTTTTGGGAAAACCTGGCGTGGAAGGCTTTAAATGTATAAATTCAGCATTTCATGGGAATTTAATTTTTTGTATTGTTTTCTTATCCATGCAGGCAGCAGCTCAGAACAGCGGGCTACAACAGCAAACTCCACACTTTAAAACTGTGATACCAAAACCAGGTGAGGGAACCAGCATATTTCTTCACATTTTACAAAGTGTGAAAGAAACTCATGAAATCGATGACATAGCAAGAGCCTTTTTTCAAATTTGATTGAGCTCTATAGAATAGAAAAGAATAGAATGCTGTTGCTGACATTCTTAAAGTTTACTCAATACATGCACTAGTAGCAATGACATCCTATAGAATTTATGTAATAAATTTCAAATAAAATTGTCCATTTTATTTTTAGGTCTAACACAAGGAAAAAAGCCTTATGCTATTTCCTCCCCACCACCCTCAACATAATAAATAAACAAAATAAATAAAAGGTAAATAGGTAAATAAATCATTGCAAGTGTAGCACAATTTTTGTAAATTTTTTCAAACTGTCCAACAAATATCATTGGTTCTATTACTAATATTTAATGCAGTACGAAAACAAATGTATGTTTATGAATATTTTATTTCAGGTTTTTGTCTCAAGACAAAAACTGACAAGGAAGAAAAAGTATTCATCAACGTGTGTTCCTCAGAAACTGTAAGTTGTTAATATATATAACATAATAGGGTTATGTACCAGGATGTATTTCTAAAAATGCTCATATTTACTTTACATAAATTCCAAAAGGTAAAGGTGTCTGAATACCTACACTGTATATTGAGTTCTCAATGAAATACTTTGACTTATTACAGCACACAAACAACAAAGTGTTGCTTTGAGATTGTTGACTTGAAAATTGGAAGTTGCATTCTGTATATTTCGTTTCTCTGAAATGCCTTGAATTTCTAGCTTCCGAAACCAAAAGACATAACAGAAGAAGATCTCATAAAAGTTTTGGAATCCGAGGATCCAACTGCATTTAGGGTGCCTATGAGTCTTGGAGAGCCTCATGCAGAGATTGACAAGTGTGAGTATTTAATGGCATTATATGGAAGAAAAATGTGGTCAGTTATAAGACAGTTGCCTTTTTGCTCTGAAATGATATGTGATATTTAAAGAAACTAGATTCGACTAGGATTGGAAGGTATGTATTTTACTGACGTTTTTGTGTGTGTGTGCATATATACACATTTATGTAAATTATACTCTTTCTTTCTATTTTAGCTGGGAAGGGCTGCACTGCGTATGATGTTATTATACACCCAGACTTCTTGGAGAAATGTAAACAGAGCGAACTCTTTGTGAAATTCCTAATCACCATTTCAATTGAAGGCCTTGAAGAAAAATACAGCATGTTATTGGATAGAAGTATGTTACTAAAACAATGTGCTCATGATTTGGGGTTATATACTTGTGTATAAGTAACTTGGTTTCTTTGAAAAATAAACCTGTGTACTCTGACTTGAACTGCAAGGTACAACTTTGGTTGGTTTTTTGCTAGGATTGAGTAATAGATTTTAAAATTACTTGGAATATCTTGATTTTTTCAATTTTTTTTTTCACCAGTGGTTAGGGCACCATTAATAATTATCATATTTTGGAATATGAAATGAAGTAATGTTGTGATAGTTGAGATTCAGTACATCACCTGAAAAAGCTGTCTTTGATATTCTCAATCACTTTGCAGTGTCAAATGTAATGTTTTGTATGCTGTAAATTTGTTATTTCAGATTACACTATGCTGAAAAATAGGAAATTTCTTGGCACTCTCCCTGAACAGAATATAAGAACCCAGTCCAAGCCCTTAATCATGGAAATGGGAAGGTGAACATTTCACATTAATTTACTTTAAAACACGAGAGAGATTAAAATTTTGCCTTTTGATCAGTTAATTCAGACCCTTAAAGTCATAATAACTCTTCATTTTGGCCAAAAATTGGATTTTCCTGGAGTAAACGGCAATTTTCCCGTACTTACCAATGGTCAGCGACCCCATTCCTGCATTCAAAGTTAATCCAGGTTTTTTTTCCTAAACGTACAGTTTTTTGTTAAAATCTCTTAAGAGATTTTAACTGACGGAGCTCTCTCTGACATCGCATAGTCACTGTTGACCTACTTAAAACCGCGGGAAAAGCAGACAACAACAACACTATATAAGATTCATGAGATTTATTCGTCTTTTTGTTAAAAAATACATTAATGTCCACAATGTGTGCCATTCTGGGCTTTTCGTTATCCGACGCACTGTACAAAAACTCGCAACTTACGTCTGCGTCTGCATTAATGTGTTTGGCGCCATATGTTATTTTGGTCTCGAATGAACGCGAGAATCCGCGTGACACCATTACGTCATTAGCAACGAATGCCTTGATGACCGTGAAGAAAAGCATCGAAAGCCCTATTGACAAGCACAGATTTTAGTTTTACTACAATAACGGCCGTTTTAGTGGTAAAATATAATAGAATATATTTCCATGCGTTGTTTACAATGTATTTCATGCGGAATTTTGAATCTCAAAGGAAGAGTTATTATTGCTTTAAAATATCAATCTGATGAAAAAAGCTTTTCTACTAAAGATTAGCATTAAATCATATATGAGTAGATGTATGTATTCCATAGCTTTCATAAACAATCTGCTTTTGCAAATTAGAATTATTGTCATATTTTCATTGTCATTTTACAGTGCTGGAGCTTCAGCACCAGGGAAACCTCTTATATCAGAGGTCTCAAGTTTTAATAGTCAGGCAACGAAGCCCAAGTAAGTCTTAGTTGCAACTTGAAAGGTTACTTTCTGTCAGAAATGATGGTCATACATCTTGATATATAATCACGTTTGCCATTTCTTAAATTCTTAAAATAGCTCAAACAGCCAGTGGCTTGAATAGCATGTGATAAGTTGGTGTCATAGATAGAATTTCAAGGTTCTTTTTTTCTTTAGAGGAGAGGAACCAAAGTACACAATTGTTCAAGAACCCCCCGATGGGCACCCAGAGTTTCTTGTTGCTGAGATACAACTTCCTAAAGTGGTGTGTATTTTGATATTTTGTATTTCTATCAAAAGAATTGAAGGAATTTTTCCCTTTCCCAAATGAATAGATTAAGTGAGATTGACAAAAAATAAAGCAGCATGTACTGTATATCATTAGATTTGCTAAATTAACCAGTCTTTAAATAAAAGTGCTTGTTCAAAACTGTTCAATTTTTCCAGAAAACAGCAAAGAGTTTGACATTAGATTTGGGTGAAGATAGAATTTTCCTTCAGACACGATCAGACATTTATTTACTGGACATCTATTTACCTTTCAATTTAATACAAGATGAATGTGGGGCACAGTTTAATAGACAGACAAAGGTAAGGTTTCTTAATAAGATTCACTTGAGGAATGCAAGAGGCTTGAAAGTGGAAAAGAAAAACAACATTACATGTAATAATAATGATAATAACAAACTATAATGATGGTACTGTATGGATTTATTTCTTTGTTTAATTTCATGTTTGTCATGTTTATGTGCTAAGAATGAATTTAAAGTTATATAAGAAATTGTTTTCTATTTGAAAATAGGTGCTGACACTGACAATGCCTGTTGTTCTTCCATGCAGCTGATACATTTAGTAACCGGTTCATGGCCACTCTTGTTTATTTAATTTTCATTTATATTTATTTTTTAAAGGAAAAAATGAAAAAGGGCATTATTATTTTTAATGTCACTTTAATATGCATGTTGAACATCATTAGGAATTTATCTCATCAGTGAAATAATTTGATGTATGGGTAGGTGAACAGGTTGGAGAATACTACTGTGGAAGATAATTTGTTCTATGGTTTTTGGGATGTAGTATTAAAACAAAGCAAGTTTATGTGTTAATGAATATCATGGACTTAAATGCGTCATTGTCATTTTCAAGTTAAATGCGTCATTGTCATTTTCAAGTTGTAAAAATTGTATTAATGTGGGAAGGGTTTTCATGGTGAGCAACGGGAATGAATTTTGTATATCACTGATGAAATTAAAATGATTTGGAACATTGTTTCAAAGTATTGAAAACTAATCAAGATTTCTGTTTTCATGAAGTGTCTTTGATACTTATATATACATATTCATAAATGACAGAAAATTGAATTTTCTGAAAAGAAATATAAAAAATAAAAAAATTTTGAAATTCAGAAATAAATGCCTTTGCTTTTTTCTATTGTCAGGATTTAATTTAGTTTAAAAAATAAGATCAGGTCGGAATTGTTGAATGATAGACTTGTTAGAAAATTCCTATAATTTTATTTCCAAAAGAAAAAAAAATGGCAGATTAACACTTACAATTACCGAAAGTGAATTGAACACGATGATTTTTTGAAAACGAGAGTACACGAAGACCTATCTCTTGAACCCACTCCAAAGGGGGCGGGGGGGGGGGTTCAACTCCCAAACCGCAAGTACGTTGAGTAAGCGAATAATTATGGCATTTTTGCCTTTTTTACACAGTGCATTTACTTTCTTCGCCCCAAATGTTCCACAGTTGCTGCGTTTACATGTACCTCCTATTTTACTGCTAGTGTGCTCACGTGCTAGTACAGTGACGGATGAAGGGGGGGTCCTGACCTCCCCCCTTTTGATTTCTGAAAAAAAAATACGTATGGTCCACTCTTGAAATTAGAATTTTGACTAGCTGTCTCATACATGTAGTTCTAAACCAAATGGCACCGTTCGCTCTCTAAAATACCAAATTTTCGGGGTCCTTTAGCAGGCCCGAACCCCACGCCAAGGGGAGGGGGGATTGGAAGAGTCGGCTTCGTATCCGCGGGCTGCCCCCCCCCTCCCCCCTCTTCCTGGATCCGCCCCTGTAGTACATGTACAGATCTAGCAAATGCCACTAATATTGCAGCATACCGGAAATAGTAAGTCACTAAATTGTATGTTTTGAATTTCGTATGATGAAATGTACGAAATTTTTGCAAAGAGAATTATTCGACGGAACACGAAATAATACATGTAATACGCTCCAGCGTGGCAGGTTATTTGTTTTTGGTCATACGCTATTTTTAGAAAGGAGACCTTGCATCAGAAATAGTCAGCCAATCAGCTGGTGATAGTCTGACGTCAATTGCACCTGACGACCAATAAGAAATCGACACGACCGTCAGTAGCGAGAGTTATAGGAGAGAGAAAAGCTGTGTTAGGGATGTAGAAGTTTACAACTCCGATTTTGATGACCTACAATCGGTTAATCAAATTTGTATGTGTTCTGCACTGATACTAAGAGTACGAAAATGACTTCATTGGGACGGAGAACGATTTTGATCACCACTGTGCCACAGAAACCCACTAGCCCGGTGGTGATGGAGGTCCCGGCCCATGTTGTGGAGGATGAGCCCCTGGAGCCGGGGCGAAAAAGACGAAGACTCACGCATCTCACACAAGAGGAGAAGATGCTGAGAAGGTAAAACATCTTGCACTGTTAATTGAATGTTACAAATATTTTTTTCTTGGCATTTCATTTTAGAACCACGCTTGAAGTTGAAGACCAAAAATGCATTTACCATATGGAACATTCCAGAATGGAATGTTACCCGGAAGTTTATATGTCTAATATGACATTTGTAGATTTCTGCAATATTATAAGATATGATAAAGTTAAAATTTGAAATTAAGTTTCTGATGAAAGGTTAATCAATTAAGTTTTGTTTCATCTGGTCACTTGTCATGTAATTAAAAGATTTGAATTAGATTTACTTCATTACTGTCTTTCTCTTTCATATTCGCTTCTCATTAGTTTTTCCCAGAAAAGCAATTCACATATTTAAACATCTGTCTTGCAGAAAATTAAAAAACAGAGTAGCAGCCCAAACAGCTCGAGACAGAAAGAAAGCAAGAATGTCAGACCTTGAAGCAGAATTGAATACAATGGAAAGAGAAAATAAAAGACTACAGGCAGAAAATATTTCATTAAGACAAAAATCCAATGCACTTTTTCAAGAAAATCAGCAGCTAAAAGAACGTCTTGGACAGAATCCAGAAGGTGTTGTCATCCTAAAGAAAGAACATTCATCCCCTGAGTCCGCAGCACTCAACCTTCCTCAGCAGCAGGAAAAGATGATTGCTCTTTCTCTATTGATGACGCACTTAGTTGCCTGTCTAATGACGTGGAAGTAAGTATTTCTTTATAATAAGTTAGAGACGTGTTCTTGTTTTAAAGTAACCTCAAGTAGATAATATTACAGCAGAAGAAGCATTCTTTAAACTTGTATTTTAGATTGAGGGTCTGTGCAAACAAAATATTTGCATCCAAGAATGCATGTATTTAAAACAACGTGTATGTTTTTTCCAGTATGATTTTCTTGGATTGCTCCAACAACTACAGAAGGAAACGAGTGATGAGCCAACAGAAGAGCCTGCTACAGACAGCACACAGCAACACATTCCCCTGCAAACAGCCCCTACTAACATGGTGGGGCCCACAACAGAAGAGCTGGAATCCATCAATGAACTCATAAAATTTGATCATGAGTATTTCAAAGTTGATAAGAAAGAAGTGGTGCAACACAAACCATCCACATGTGCAGGTCATCTGCAACAACAGACCATCCCAGTAAACACGAAATTGAACACTGAGGACACCACAATGTCTGCTGCTCTTGAAGATTTGGACCAGATCTTGAAAAGCAGCCTGGCTGGATTGGAGCCCTCTGTGCCAAACCAGTCTTTTGTTTCTAAGGACAATGTAGTTGCAATAGATACTTCACTATATGAAGAGAATGATGGGAAAATCAAAGGGGAGACAGTCAGCGACTCTGGCTACAGTGATATGAGTGATGTTGGATCTCCTGCTAGTAGCTGTGGGTCTCCAGATAGTGACTATTCCTCGGGACTAGATGAAATCTGGGAAGACTCTTTTACTGAGCTTTTCCCTTCATTGTTGTAAGGGTTTAGACCTTTACTTAAAAAAAAAAAGACTTAAAGCTTTCAATTATGTATATAGTAAATGTCTAATACAGAATTCGAGAGAAAATAATTAAATTTGCATTTATTTAATATATTTTGGTGGGAAGCAGGTTGCCCCCTTGTACATATTTATTGTTTCAATATTGTCCTTAGAAATAAAAATGTTAAATTCTATTTTTTTCTTTTATTAATCTTGAACGATTTTTAACATGGAAGTAGTTTTTCCGAAAGTTTATGGTAAAAGGAACGTTAGTCCTGCTGGCCCTTTGTCCCTTGAACTTTGGGAAGTTGCTGCTCGTCCGGTCTTCCACCTGAAAATGCACAAAAAGGATGTAACGTGCTGTCTATGTTAATTCATTTCGCTGCATACTTTGTTGATATTTTGGCTAATAATTTACTTTGTGATAACTTTTAGTTGACCTAAAAACTACCTTCATCTTCCTCTTCTTCGCCACATTCCCACAAAGTAGATATACTTGGCGTCACAGAGCACCTACGCCTCGTCCTGAGACGAAAAAAAATGCGTAAGATAACTTGATAAATTAATACGCCATAATTTCAATAATGGATCCCAAAAACTGTTTAGTGTCAAATGACTGTCATTTTGTCGAAAGTGCCCATCAGAAATATTAAAATCTAAGTTATCAATTTAATGCGCTCTTTCGTTTCCACGTTGCATATAAGGCCACACTTTTTTAATTTTATGGATGACATCCCGCGCGCGCACGGATTTTCGCCCGTTCTAAAAAAAAAAAAAAAAAAGCCCCCCCCCCCAGCNTATGAATACCTACGCCGTATATTGAGTTCTCAATGAAATACTTTGACTTATTACAGCACACAAACAACAAAGTGTTGCTTTGAGATTGTTGACTTGAAAATTGGAAGTTGCATTCTGTATATTTCCTTTCTCTGAAATGCCTTGAATTTCTAGCTTCCGAAACCAAAAGACATAACAGAAGAAGATCTCATAAAAGTTTTGGAATCCGAGGATCCAACTGCATTTAGGGTGCCTATGAGTCTTGGAGAGCCTCATGCAGAGATTGACAAGTGTGAGTATTTAATGGCATTATATGGAAGAAAAATGTGGTCAGTTATAAGACAGTTGCCTTTTTGCTCTGAAATGATATGTGATATTTAAAGAAACTAGATTCGACTAGGATTGGAAGGTATGTATTTTACTGACGTTTTTGTGTGTGTGTGCATATATACACATTTATGTAAATTATACTCTTTCTTTCTATTTTAGCTGGGAAGGGCTGCACTGCGTATGATGTTATTATACACCCAGACTTCTTGGAGAAATGTAAACAGAGCGAACTCTTTGTGAAATTCCTAATCACCATTTCAATTGAAGGCCTTGAAGAAAAATACAGCATGTTATTGGATAGAAGTATGTTACTAAAACAATGTGCTCATGATTTGGGGTTATATACTTGTGTATAAGTAACTTGGTTTCTTTGAAAAATAAACCTGTGTACTCTGACTTGAACTGCAAGGTATAACTTTGGTTGGTATTTTGCTAGGATGGAGTAATAGATTACAAAATTACTTGGAATATCTTGATTTTTTCAAATTTTTTTTTTCACCAGCGGTTAGGGCACCATTAATAATTATCATATTTTGGAATCTTGTGATAATTGTAATGTTGTGATAGTTGAGATTCAGTACATCACCTGAAAAAGTTATCTTTGACATTCTCAATCACTTTGCAGTGTCAAATGTAATGTTTTGTATGCTGTAAGTTTGTTATTTCAGATTACACAATGCTGAAAAATAGAAAATTTCTGGGCACTCTCCCTGAACAAAATATAAGAACCCAGTCTAAGCCCTTAATCATGGAAATGGGAAGGTGAACATTTCATATTAATTTACTTTAAAACACTAGAGTTTTAAATTTTGCCTTTTGATCAGTTAATTAAGACCCTTAAAATATAAATGAAAAGATAGCAGCTTTTCTACTAAAGATTAGCATTAAATCATAAATGAGTAGATGTATGTATTCCATAGTTTTCATAAACAATCTGCTTTTGCAATTGGAATTATTGTCATATTTTCATTGTCATTTTACAGTGCTGGAGCTTCAGCACCAGGGAAACCTCTTATATCAGAGGTCTCAAGTTTTAATAGTCAGGCAACGAAGCCCAAGTAAGTCTTAGTTGCAACTTGAAAGGTTACTTTCTGTCAGAAATGATGGTCATACATCTTGATATATAATCACGTTTGCCATTTCTTAAGTTCCTAAAATAGCTCAAACAGCCAGTGGCTTGAATAGCATGTGATAAGTTGGTGTTATAGATAGAATTTCAAGATTTTTTTTCTTTAGGGGAGAGGAACCAAAGTACTCAATTGTTCAAGAACCCCCTGATGGGCACCCAGAGTTTCTTGTTGCTGAGATACAACTTCCTAAAGTGGTGTGTATTGTGAAACTTTATATTTCTATCAAAAGAATTGAATGAATTTTCCGCTTTTCCAAATGAATAGATTAGGTGAGACTGACAAAAAAATAAAGCGGCATAAACATGTACATCATTAGATTTGCTAAATTAACCAGTCTTTAAATAAAAGTGCTTGTTCAAAACTGTTTAATTTTTCCAGAAAACAGCAAAGAGTTTGACATTAGATTTGGGTGAAGATAGGATTTTCCTTCAGACACGATCAGACATTTATTTACTGGACATCTATTTACCTTTCAATTTAATACAAGATGAATGTGGGGCACAGTTTAATCGACAGACAAAGGTAAGGTTTCTTAATAAGATTCACTTGAGGAATGCAAGAGGCTTGAAAGTGGATAAGAAAAACAACATTACATGTAATAATAATGATAATAACAATCAATAATGATGGTACTGTATGGATTTATTTCTTTGTTTAATTTCATGTTTGTCATGTTTATGTGCTAAGAATGAATTTAAAGTTATATAAGAAAATGTTTTCTATTTGAAAATAGGTGCTGACATTGACAATGCCTGTTGTTCCTCCATGCAGCTGATACATTTAGTAACCGGTTCATAGCCACTCTTGTTTATTTAATTTTCATTTATATTTATTTTTTAAAGGAAAAAATGAAAAAGGGCATTATTATTTTTAATGTCACTTTAATTTGCATGTTGAACATCATTAGGAATTTATCTCATCAGTGAAATAATTTGATGTATGGGTAGGTGAACAGGTTGGAGACTACTACTGTGGAAGATAATTTGTTCTATGGTTTTTGGGATTTTTTATTGTATTAAAACAAAGCAAGTTTATGTGTTAATGAATATCATGGACTTAAATGTGTCATTGTCATTTTTAAGTTAAATGCGTCATTGTCATTTTCAAGTTGTAAAAATTGTATTAATGTGGGAAGGGTTTTCATGGTGAGCAACGGGAATGAATTTTGTATATCACTGATGAAATTAAAATGATTAGGAACATTGTTTCAAAGTATTGAAAACTAATCAAGATTTCTGTTTTCATGAAGTGTGTCTTTGATACTTATATATACATATTCATAAATGACAGAAAATTGAATTTTCTAAAAAGAAATATAAAAAATAAAAAAATTGTAATTCAGAAATAAATGCCTTTGCTTTTTTCTATCGTCAGGATTTAATTTAGTTTAAAAATAAGATCAGGTCAGAATTGTTGAATGACAGATTTGTTAGAAAATTCCTATAATTTTATTTCCAAAAGAAAATAAAGTGGCAGATTAACACTTACAATTACCGAAAGTGGATTGAACACGATGATTTTTTGAAAACGAGAGTACACGAACCTACTCCAAAGGGGGCGGGGGGGNTCTAAGGTATTTGATCAATACCCCATGATAGCAACCTAAGCCTTTCCCGTCAATACATGTGCAACAGCTGGGAAAAGGAGCTTTGCTTCAAAATTCCCCAGGTAAAATTAATGAAATTGTTTTTCCAGAACAAAGAAATGGAATTATATAAGTCTCTATCTCAGGAAAAGACCATTAACAGAAGCAATGGTTTACAGGGGAGGAGGAGGGGGGGGGGGGGGTCCTGACCCCCCCCCCCCCCTTTCGATTTCTAAAAAAAATCATACGTATGGTCCACTCTTGAAATTAGAATTTTGACTAGCTAGCTGTCTCATACATGTAGTTCTAAACCAAATGGCACCGTTCACTCTCTAAAAACCAAATTTTCGGGGTCCTTTAGCAGGCCCGAACCCCACCCCAAGGGTGGGGAAGGTTGGAAGAGTCGGCTTCGTATCAGCGGACTCCCCCCCCCCCCCCCCCCCCTCTTCCTGGATCCGCCCCTGTAGTACATGTAAAGATCTAGCAAATGCCACTAATACATGATATTGCAGCATACCGGAAATAGTAAGTCACAAAATTGTATGTTTTGAAATGCGTATGATGAAATGTACGAATTTTTTGCAAAGAGAATTATTCGACGGAACACGAAATAATACATGTAATGCGCTCCAGCGTGGCAGGTTATTTGTTTTTGGTCATACGCTATTTTTAGAAAGGAGACCTTGCATCAGAAATAGTCAGCCAATCAGCTAGTGGTAGTCTGACGTCAATTGCACCTGACGACCAATAAGAAATCGACACGACCGTCAGTAGCGAGAGTTATAGGAGAGAGAAAAGCTGTGTGAAGGATGTAGAAGTTTACAACTCCGATTTTGATGACCTACAATCGGTTAATCAAATTTGTATGTGTTCTGCACTGATACTAAGAGTACGAAAATGACTTCATTGGGGCGGAGAACGATTTTGATCACCACTGTGCCACAGAAACCCACTAGCCCGGTGGTGATGGAGGTCCCGGCCCATGTTGTGGAGGATGAGCCCCTGGAGCCGGGGCGAAAAAGACGAAGACTCACGCATCTCACACAAGAGGAGAAGATGCTGAGAAGGTAAAACATCTTGCACTGTTAATTGAATGTTACAAATATTTTTTTCTTGGCATTTCATTTTAAAACCACGCTTGAAGTTGAAGACCAAAATTACATTTACCATATGGAACATTCCAGAATGGAATGTTACCCGGAAGTTTATATGTCTAATATGATATTTGTACATTTCTGCAATGTTATAAGATATGATAAAGTTAAAATTTTGAATTTAGTTTCTTATGAAAGGTTAATCAATTAAGTTTTGTTTCATCTGGTCACTTGTCATGTAATTAAAATATTTGAATTAGATTTACTTCATTACTGACTTTCTCTTTCATATTCGCTTCTCATTAGTTTTTCCCAGAAAAGCAATTAACATATTTTAACATCTGTCTTGCAGAAAATTAAAAAACAGAGTAGCAGCCCAAACAGCTCGAGACAGAAAGAAAGCAAGAATGTCAGACCTTGAAGCAGAATTGAATACAATGGAAAGAGAAAATAAAAGACTACAGGCAGAAAATATTGCATTAAGACAAAAATCCAATGCACTTTTTCAAGAAAATCAGCAGCTAAAAGAACGTCTTGGACAGAATCCAGAAGGTGTTGTCATCCCAAAGAAAGAACATTCATCCCCTGAGTCCGCAGCACTCAACCTTCCTCAGCAGCAGGAAAAGATGATTGCTCTTTCTCTATTGATGACGCACTTAGTTGCCTGTCTAATGACGTGGAAGTAAGTATTTCTTTATAATAAGTTAGAGACGTGTTTTGTTTTAAAGAAACCTCAAGTAGATAATATTACAGCAGAAGAAGCATTCTTTAAACTTGTATTTTAGATTGAGGGTCTGTGCAAACAAAATATTTGCATCCAAGAATGCATGTATTTAAAACAACGTGTATGTTTTTTCCAGTATGATTTTCTTGGATTGCTCCAACAACTACAGAAGGAAACGAGTGATGAGCCAACAGAAGAGCCTGCTACAGAGTCCAGCACACAGCAACACATTCCCCTGCAAACAGCCCCTACTAACATGGTGGGGCCCACAACAGAAGAGCTGGAATCCATCAATGAACTCATAAAATTTGATCATGAGTATTTCAAAGTTGATAAGAAAGAAGTGGTGCAACACAAACCATCCGCATGTGCAGGTCATCTGCAACAACAGACCATCCCAGTAAACACGAAATTGAACACTGAGGACACCACAGTGTCTGCTGCTCTTGAAGATTTGGACCAGATCTTGAAAAGCAGCCTGGCTGGATTGGAGCCCTCTGTGCCAAACCAGTCTTTTGTTTCTAAGGACAATGTAGTTGCAATAGATACTTCACTATATGAAGAGAATGATGGGAAAATCAAAGGGGAGACAGTCAGTGACTCTGGCTACAGTGATATGAGTGATGTTGGATCGCCTGCTAGTAGCTGTGGGTCTCCAGATAGTGACTATTCCTCGGGACTAGATGAAATCTGGGAAGACTCTTTTACTGAGCTTTTCCCTTCATTGTTGTAAGGGTTTAGACCTTTACTTAAAAAAAAAGACTTAAAGCTTTCAATTATGTATATAGTAAATGTCTAATACAGAATTCGAGAGAAAATAATTAAATTTGCATTTATTTAATATATTTTGGTGGGAAGCAGGTTGCCCCCTTGTACATATTTATTGTTTCAATATTGTCCTTAGAAATAAAAATGTTAAATTCTATTTTTTTCTTTTATTAATCTTGAACGATTTTTAACATGGAAGTAGTTTTTCCGAAAGTTTATGGTAAAAGGAACGTTAGTCCTGTTGGCCCTTTGTCCCTTGAACTTTGGGAAGTTGCTGCTCGTCCGGTCTTCCACCTGAAAATGCACTCAAAGGATGTAACGTGCTGTCTATGTTAATTCATTTCGCTGCATGCTTTGTTGATATTTTGGCTAATAATTTACTTTGTGATAACTTTAAGTTGACCTAAAAACTACCTTCATCTTCCTCTTCTTCGCCACATTCCCACAAAGTAGATATACTTGGCGTCACAGAGCACCTACGCCTCGTCCTGAGACGAAAAAAAATGCGTAAGATAACTTGATAAATTAATACGCCATAATTTCAATAATGGACCCCAAAAACTGTTTAGTGTCAAATGACTGTCATTTTGTCGAAAGTGCCCATCAGAAATATTAAAATCTAAGTTATCAATTTAATGCGCTCTTTCGTTTCCACGTTGCATATAACATATGCACATTAAAGATTAAGACAATGGAATGAAAAGCGTACAAACAACCCTTCATGGGAAATGCAAGACCCCTTTTTTAAAGATATCTCCGTAAATGGTGATTCTCCTGTTTTGCAATTTTATTTCCCTACAATCATGCTCCAATGCAGTCGTTGGTAAATCTCAATTAGTTTAGTTTAGGTTTTCAGGGTTAAGATATTCCATTGAATCCGAATGGTCTCTCATAAAAAATCCCAGTCAAAGCTAAATAAAATGAACGCATTTATGCAGCAGAATGAGAAATTCAGCTAAGATGAGGTCAATGGCCACGTATTTGATTAATTTCTTATGGAAAAATCAGCCCAACAAAAAGTTTAGTTATTTGCTGTCATATCATGCACGCAGTTGTTTCAAGCAGCATAACAAATAATAATAATAAATAATAATAAAATTTAGAAAAACAACAAAAGTGGAATTCATCTACTTATATTTGTGGATGGTACGCAATAGCAATGCACCTCTCACATCAGTATTGAGTAGCTTCTCTAATGCAATATTGGACGTCTTTTTTTTGTCAAATCAGTTGTTTTAAGATATTTTATGTTTCATTATAACAACAAAATTTTGATAGCTTTCCTTTATTGCCGAAGGTCAAGGTTCATTTAATTTCAGATTTTCGGCCATAAAATTTAAATGTTTCAAACATGGCGTGTTTATGACAATTAATGCAAAACTTGTTTTGTTTAGACAAATGATTGGCCTTCTTGCGATGGAACCAAAGCTTACTTTATCCACTTTTTCGGCATTTTCTAGCATAATATATAGCATTAATTAGCTACGCTACCAGTTTTGATGCTTTGAAACAATATTTGCTATGTCAAAGACAAGAAAGAGCCATTTCTTATCAAAAGAAAGCAAGTCTAATGATGAAGTAGCATTTCTAATGCTTTTTTTTTATTCAAAAGAAATGTATATATGCCATATTTAATACTGCATTACTTGCAAATAAAATCTTCAGTTGAGATCATGCACCAAAACTCCTGTACCGAACGATGACAGTGAACTTAGTGATATACTAGCAATTATTCTCTCCGAAAACACTTACAGTGTCTCGAACAAATAGAAAAGGGGCGGTTGGCAATTGGCAATAGAAAGGCATCTTAATTCATAACAACCTGAACAAAGTAGGGAATCGCCTTAATTATATCATAAAGTATCTGTCTTTTAATTTCAGTTTGACCTTACATACGTGTAGACCCATATTCAAAACTACTATAAACGCTCGTCAGGTGAACGCAGCTTTAAGCATAAAATGAGAGCATTGAGGTCTTTAAAAAGCATGGAGAAACAGCAGACAAATAAATTATTCTGTCAATGCCCTTCCCCAATTTACAACATTGATATCTATTTTACCTGCATTTGTCGTGAAAAATTTCACTACTCGACTTTCTAATGTTTGGTGATGTTGTCCTTTCCTCCTGAGCATTGATGATGTTGATACTGGGCATAGGCTTACTTGTATCTACAGTTTTCACATCATTGCAGCAGCAGCAACAAAAAACATTTTTCATTATTTCTTAACCCTTTTTTTTTACATCATGATAATTATTTCATAACCATCACCCAAACTTAATATCACTATGGTTCCCGTTGTATTGTGACGTCAACATAAATTTATGGCGTAAGCATGAGCATTATAAATTTAATACACGTTCAACAGCTAACAACAAAGCATGTGCCATAAACAAGTTCTGCACAATGTGACGTCCCACATCTAAAGTCAAAATTGAAAGAAAAAAAAAAAAAACAAAACCAAAAATTTGTTGGAAAAATTCAAAGGAAAGAAGAAGCAAGCTCTCCACTATCGAGGTGTATTTTGCATATTTGATTAATTCTTTATGAAATATGTTAAATGAATAAATTATATCTATTTAACTGAATATAGGTCGAAGTAAAACTAAAAAAAAAGACGCATTTTTATTAACATTAACATCAAACATCCATTCTGTGATGTTTAGCATATCAATAAGAACAGGCTACATCCTATTTTTTACAGTCAAGGTAATGCAATCGGTAAATATAACCTACTATAGCCTACATGTTTATTTGAGAAAGACAACGCTGCACTGCTGACACTGCATCATTACTTATCCTTTGTGATCCAAATAACAGCACTGAATATCAAACTGCCATCGTTGTCACGCAAAAGAAGTGGTATTGGTTGTCTGAAACTAATTTAAAGCCAAGCAAGCTGATTCGCCCAGCAGAAGGAAGCTACTACTCTGACTGCACGGTATATAGGCCTACAATTACGCTATAATGACTATATCCAGAGAGTGAAAATTGGGTTGGCAACGTGATGGATGTTTCCCGATTGCCTAACGCAACAATTACGGACCAGATGAGTTTTGGTTTTAAATCTGACAACTCCAGTGGTAGGAAGATCGTAATGGTCAAAGAAAATGTTGACACTGAAAATTTCCAGTGGAAGGTTGACCTCCCGTTTACAGTGCTCCTGTATATCATATTGGTTGTAGGTGAGTCCTGCTATTTACAGTTTAAAAAATTACCCGTTTTTAAGATGCAAATGGAAAGAATTTGAGCAAATAAGTAATGCAGCATTTAGTTTTATATAAAGTAAATTTAGCGTGGTTGGTATTTAATATGACGATGTCTTGACACTTTTAAGAAATTTCTGGTCCAAATAAAGTCAAGCCCTGAAAGTAAAAATAAGTAATGCATAAAAGCAGCAGATTCTTTTTGTTAATTTAGCATTTGTGACGACCCGATATGTCCGACAGGCCAGATATGTTCTACGACCAGAGAAGGCCAGATATGTCCGACAAAAAAGAGCCAGATGTTTCCGACAGGACAGATATGTCGGACCCAACTGGCTCTTTTTTTGTCGGACATATCTGGCCTGTTCTCTGGTCGTAGGACATATCTGGCCTGTCGGACATATCGGGTCGTCACAAATGTATCAATAACAGTAGTAAACGTGAAGTTCTTTCTTGTCATTTGTTTGTAGAAATTAAAGCTTTTATGCGATCTGGAGAAATGATACCCGAAGCCCTTATTTAGACTTTTCTTTGGCTTTGCTATGAATCAAACGTTACTAATATTACAATTCAATCGCAAAAGACAGGTCGTCTCTTTGCCATATAGATTGTATATGGATATACTAGTAAAAAGAGACAAATATGGATACACTGTAGTAAAAAGAGACAAATATGCAAACAGTAGTAACTTAAGGCCATGGCAAAGCAGGTAAAGGTTAACACGCACTGTGGATCTAATTTGGTCCGTATGAAAAAATCCATTTACATATATCTTTTAATGTCAAAAATATCTGCTAACGGCACGTTATATTATTCTAACTTGTACGTTACGCCAGCTAGTATCTCAAACCTTAACTTACAACCGGTAAATATCAAAACTAATAACTTAATGCCATGGCACAACACCCGTAGAAACAAAATATGACAAAACACTCAAGAATAGTCAACTGAAATGACATCTAGAATGGTGACATCGTGTTTTCGGGATTTTTGCGATTTCAGCCTCAATTTCAACAGTTAAAACCCAAGATATTTTAAGCATTACTATAGCTTTTGAAAAAATTGTGCTGGATAAAAGAAATTGATTACCTACTCTATTTTTTGAGTCGTGGTGCGTGGCCCTTAATTTCAATGCTTTTATCACTACTTTTGAAACTCAATTGTTGATGAAGAATGGACCTTACTTGGTGCAATTACAGTGTTTTTGTTTCATTTTCATCAATCTAAAATCATTATAAATGATAATCATTATTCTTAAAATAAATGAAGTTCAGCCGTAAAATAGTTATCAATCACAAAACTCGCTTTATTTTGGTACGAAATATGTACCCTTCTTGCTTTCATTGTATCACTTTTTTTACCTGCGGTACAGCCAAGAAAGCCGAGACCTACAAGTCATAGAATTAATTTTGTCTTGCAATTTCCGCTGCGTGTTCTTCATGTATTAGGTCTGCACCCTAAAAATGTTGTGATTGAAATTTAAGCTTCCGATAATTTCATTTAAAAGACAACCCGTAAAAGCAAGTATATATAAAGATGAAAAATAAAAACATCAATACCAGTATTTCAAAATTTTAGAATTCGAACTGATACGATCAGTGCAACAGTTGGTTACAACTCGTAGGTTGAGAATAGGGAGAATCACTTTATTATGACATAGATGTTATGGCTGAGGCGCCGCTTGGGTTGGTTTTTATTCATCGCTTTTGCCACTTCATTTTCCTTTCCGCTAAAATGCCACAAACAGTATTACATTTCTACTGATTATCGAATGTGTGGCAGTCTCTTTTTTCATAATGTCAGTCAGTTTTTACCTTACGCAATCACGCTTTCTTTCTTTCTTTTTTTCTTTGCTTCGACGATTTGGCAACAGAACATGATTTTGTCTTCATATGTTTTGGTGGAGAAACCTAGAAAGGGTTAAATGTCTGTTCTTTCCATATTCTAAATGTTATTTAAACAGACGTAGCGCAAACTCATTGAGCTTTTTTTTTTTTTTTTTTTTT